TGTGCCCCACCGGTGGGGTCTTGGCTGGCTGAAGATTGTCAACATTGTACTGGTTCACATAACAAACACTCAGCGCTCTAGCGCTCTCTCTCGCCTTTCTTTGCGAGGTTATGATGAGCAACAGATTACTGCGCAACATAATGTCGGGGTCTCGTACTAGGTGGGTAATCACCGGTAATCACAGCGGACAAGATCTAAAGATCTTCTAACGCACCATTGGAATAATGCAGGAAAATATACAACGCAGCGATTGTGTTAAAGCATAATGATCATATAAATAACTAGCTGTACCCGCGGGCTTTGCCCCGTTTTACTTCATAAGTGAGCTCGTTCGCATGGCTCAATCACGTCCTGGTTGAAGTTCGTTCGCTACGCTCACTCACCTTTAGGTTGGAGCTCGTTCGCTGCGCTCACCTGCCTTCAGGTTAGCTCGTTCGCTACCCTAACTCGCCTCCAGAATGAAGTTCGTTCGCTACGCTCAATCACCTTTTGGTTGCAAATTAGCTGTTGTCATATATAAAAAAATACCCCCGCCGCAGCAATCCTGCCGACTAAGCGAATTTCCATTTGTCTGAATTGATTTTCAGTTAAATATATTTTAATAACATTAGGTTTAACGAGTACCTAGGTTTGCTGCTACAAGGAAACTAATAAAGTGTGTTTTTGAGTAAAATATTGATAGCTTAGTACAAAATAAATAAATTTGCCAAGTTTGATCAAAATATATTCATAAACAAGCAAACTACAACATTTGACAATATTCTCCATAAGAATAACATGGGAATTTTAAATTTACAATTTTTTTAATTTTCTCCGTTACTAATATTCGAACAAAAATACTTTTATATACTAAATTATTTGTTTTTTTAAGCTCTTTAAAAAGGTCTAAAGAGAAATTGGGAAATTTGTGTTTTGAGGGTCAAAAGTGAGAAAAACCAATTTTACCCCATAAAACCCCCCGTAAAGTCCCGTTCCCATGGTCCGATCGTGTTGGTTCGCGAACTCATTCAAGTTTATCCCGCTTTACGCCTTTAAACCAAATTTCATCAAAATCGGACAAAAATTACTCAAGTTATCGCGTTTACGGACGTATATATATATAAATATATATATATATATATATATATATAAGTCTATATATATATATACATATATAAAAATTTGAACGAATAGTGTTTTTGGCCTCTGGGGACATCAAAATGAAAATTAAATCGGTCCCGGGTCTAGGTCTTACCCTACGGTAATAGCTACTTCCCTATAGGGAAATTCGCTAAAAATAATAGTGCTGCAGCCTGTTGGTAATCCTTGTAAGTTTTTAATGCTTTTGCATATCATAGAATCATAGACTATAGAATCAACTTTTTAGTTGAAACAGCTGACTAAATTATTTAATTCCCTTTTAATACTAGGTGGCGTTCGCAGAGGCATCCACAAAATTGAGCGGAGTCATCAAGGGTTCATATTATATTGTTTTTGTCATACTGCAGTAAAAACAGTAGTTTTTAATGCATGCGTTGCGGGTCTAAAGTAGCATTTTTCTCTTTAGGGAGTAAAAATAGTTTTTAGCCTCTATGGAGTAAAAATCAGTTGTTGTCAACTCAGTTGTAAATTTCGATTGTAAACGATTACATGTATCTAAAATATGTATCGATTCGTGCTTTGTAATCATTTTAACCTACACAGTCTACAGTCTCTTCTTACCATAGCATTTTAGTATTGCAGATACATTAATCCATTCCCACACTCAACACTGCTCACCTTTACTACTTCCTTCACCACCCCCTACGTCGTAGACCTGTTTCCCTCTCTTCCCATAGCATTTTAGGATTGTAGATACATTAATGTAATTGCCGAAGACAGTTCCCACACTCTGCACAGCTAGCCTTACTAATTGCTTCACCATTTCATACGTCATAGACCTGTTTCCTTCCCTTCTCATAGCATTTAAGATTACAGATACATTTATCTAACTGCCCAAACGGCCCCCCCACCAGTGTTTCCATTTGAGGGATAAAAATCCCTTTCTAGGGATATTTAGGGCCTTCGAGGGATTGAAAAGGGATTGAGGGATAACTAGGGATAATCAGCGAAATTGAAGGTTTTTTTTAGATTTTCTAGGGATTTCAAGCCTTTGACTTTATAAAATTGAAATATTGTTAAAATAATACATTTTGGCTATATTTCAACAACGTCAAGGACCTATTTTGGCTAATTTTGCAAGGTATTGACACCGTAACGCATTGATTATACTATTTTCCCCCAGATTTTGGTATCAAATCGATTGTAGAAGATACTCCTCAAGGAGTATGTTTTATCTATGGTTTTAGGTAGTGGTAGTGACGTAGTGTTTCAAAGTTGGAACAGACAAGGGGAAGAGCACTAAGAGCAGTAACAGCCAACACTGCACGAAACAAGCGAAGGACAAGTCGGTCGGTGGAATGTAATGGCGGATCTAGACCTAGATTACTGTATTTGTTTCTTATAGTAGCCCTGTTCCCTGTGTCAAAAATGTCGAATGTTTGTTTTCGTTTTAATTTTGTTTTCCGGTGATTCCTATGATGTTTTTTTGGTTAAAGTATAACTTGGTGTAACCTTTTCACCAAGGCATGGTGGCCATGTTTGAAAAAGACTATAAGTTTGAAATTTGAACATTTGAGTAACATTTTTGAAACAATTGTAATTACTTGTACCGTAAATGAAAATTATTAGTTTATAAAATTTTAAAAATACCTATTTGTTTCATTTTTTTAGTTAATTTATCTTGTTTTGTACCACATAGGCAGTTTTTAATCACGGCTACCTTTAATTCCAGGCCGGAGGCCGCGGCCTTCGAAGTGGCAACGTTGCAAGTATAGTGTTGTAAAAGGTGATTGTTTGGAAAACGCTAAGCTATAATGATATTTATGTATTTTTTATAATAAATACGAAAGCTTGGTTACTGGGCTATGAAAATATTGACTCCACATTGAATGTATAGAAATAGATTTTCAATTTATATTGTTTTGGTTTTCTATTCTACATTATGTTTTATTTCCATGTTAACTTATGGGTATGGGACGTCTGGCGCTAAACAATACTACGGTACTTGCAACGTTGCCAATTCTACCAGGCCGCGGCCTGCCTGGAGTTAAAGATGGCCGTGGTTTTAATGGTGCAAAAATGTTTTTTATATAGTATTACTTTATAAATAATATGGGATATTAAAGAATAATACCACCAGTTACCATATTTTAGGTGGCTTTACATGATATCCATTGGTATTGCTGCAAAAATAATAAAGTTATCTAGATTTGATGAAGAGGGATAATTAGAGGGATTATTAGAACACGGACTAGGGATAACTAGGGATTTTTTGACGTTGGCCCAGGGATATTTTTTTCTTGCGGATGGAAACACTGCCCCCCACTCTGCACTGCCAGCCTTCAATACCTCCTTCACCACGTCCTCCGTCGTGGGGCCTGTTTCCCTCTCTTCTCATAGCATTTTAGGATTGAAAATACATTAATCTAACTGCCACAGACGATTCTCACACTATGCTAATGCTTTACTATTTCCTAAGCCACTTCCTACGTCGTGGACCTGTTTTCATCACTTTCCTACATCATTTTAGTATTTTAGATACGTTACTTTTAGATTACGTTGCAGATACCTTAATCTAATCGTCACAAACAGTTCCCACAGTCCAGACTGCTTGCCTTTACTACTTCCTTCACCACTTCCTACGTCTTGGACCTGTTTCTCTCCTTTCCCATAGCATCATAGGATTGCAAATACCTTAATCTAATGGTCACAAACAGATCCCACGCCCCGAACAGCTCGCCTTTACTACTTCCTTCACCACTTCCTACGACGCGGACCTGTTTCCTTCCCTTCCAATAGCATTTTAGGATTGCAGATGCCTCAATCTAATCGGTATAAACAGTTCCCACACTCCGGACAGCTCGCATTGACTACTTCCTTCACCACTTCCTATGTCCCGGACATGTTTTCCTCCCTTCTCATAGAATTTTAGGAATGCAGATACCTTAATCTAATCGTCATAAACAGTTTACACACTCCAGACTGCTCACCTTTATTACTTCCTTCACCACTTCCTACGTCACGGACCTCAAGCTAGTGTCGTAGCCTAATTTGATTATATTTATGATCCATACCGTTTCTGTTCTAATATCTGTGGAATAATGCTATCAGCTATTTCTTTATTTAATGCATTCAAAAGTCAACAGCTGATCATATGTCTTTGTTTATGTGTCAAATACTGCTTCCATAAGGATTACATTGAAACTTTGAGACCCAGTGGGGCGGATTCCTGAGAGACTTTTTTTAACGCCATAGATGTTAGCACTCACCGATATGGTCTTTATCACCATGCAAAATTTGAAAACATTGATTTAGCCGTCTAGGAGGAGTTTGCGTATTACGAAATGCATAAGAGTCGACGTATAAGAGCTTCGCTCAATGAATACTCATAAGGTTAACATGGGGAACTATAGAGCCACTGGGGCGGAGCCCGAAAGGATTTTTGAGATAAGAATTTTTATGCCTAAATGTTAATCGGGAATGTGAGCTATCATCATGCCAAATTTCAGCAAAATCCGTCCAGTGGTTAATGCGTTCACTTGTCACAAACATACATCCATACATCCAAACTTTCTCATTTATAATAGGCCTATTAGTAGGATAGAACTTATTAAAATTCTACATATGCTACCTATGATGCTACCTATATTCCGATCAATGAAAACCAAATAAATAATGACAAAGCAAAATATAATAATTTCAACCAAGCAATTTGCAAAGCAACCAAGGTATGTGACTATCAATCAGTGTCTGAAGTGGACGACAAAAAGTTTCACCAAACGACCAAACTAAACAGCCAAAATAAAAATAAAATCATTGTACTCAGCTGCATGGTGTACCCTAGAAAAGCCAGCCAATTTAATTTGTTTAAAAATTGTTGACATCGACATCTGTCCTCGTCCTGTTTGCTGTTGATTGTTGTTGATGTGTCCGATATTTTAGGTTAATTAACCAACTAAGTTAACAGATAACAGAAACAAACAAAGTGTTGAAAACAAAGTCTAAATTAATTCTTAAGTTAATATGATTCTTCATCAGATTTGGTGATCGTGGGGTTTGATCTTTGATTATTCGGTGTTATGATGTTGATAAACTTATTTTTCATTTCCAAGGATTAATATTTTTATAGCCTAGCCTTTGAAATCATATGTGTTCTTATGTGTATTCTTACGTTGGGCTTCGACATAAATGTTTAAAGAACTATCTTTTACTCTTTATTTTCAAAATGCCATTTTATGCTGTAGCTAATGGAAAAGTCCCTGGAATATACAATTCTTGGTGAGTTGACTTTTTACCATAATCGTATTTCATTGGCCTAGCCTATGTTACAGTAGGGTAGGCCTAAGTTGGGTACAGTTTCTTAACTGGGCTATACTAATATTGATTGAAACTATCGAATTGAAAATATTGATTAATAATCGATATTTTAAAATATATCTATTATAAAATTTATCTATCATAACCTAACCTAACCAACCAAACTTGCTGATGGTGAAAAAATTGCATGAAGGTTTACTAATTGAATCGATAGTTTCAATCAATATTAACATAGCCCAGTTAAGAAACTGATTGCATGAAGGATTACTAATCGAATCGATAGTTTCAATCAATACAGTAGAGTCCCGCAAACTCGGCACTCGATAACCCGGCAGTCTGGATAACTCGGCTATCACCTGGCTTAGATAATTAGTGATTTTTGAGTCCGAGTTAAACATAGACTAAAGCTAGCTCATGTCAAATCATTCACAACTCGTACCAAGGATTTGTTGTACTATATCTGATGACTTAATACTGACTTGTAATATAAATAAAAAAAAAGGCGGGTAAAAAGATTTAAAATTGTATTGTTCTTATTTTTAACCCTAGTTCCCGATAACCCGGCATTTCACAAACTCGGCACCCTTCCAGTCCACATTACGCCGAGTTTGTGGGACTCTACTGTATTAGCATAGCCCAGTTAAGAAACTGTACACCCTAAGTTATTATAAGTAGGCCAATTTAATCAAAATCTGATGATTTTTAACAAGAGTTTTATGGATTTGAACTGGTGATGTTTTTGGCCTCTTCGGTAAAATACCGGTAGGCTACTTATGTTTTTTCACCATAGGCTACTTAGGCCTACACGTGAAGTGAATGGTGTACATAATAAGGTGTATAATTAAATACAGTATATAATACATTAGTGCTGTACGGTATACATTTTTGTGTAGGCTATTCATACTGTTTTAATGCTCTGGTATTGTGTTTTTGACGAGTTGCAAGCTTCGAAAATGTTGTCTCCGCAACAAAAAATGTCGACCAGCTACTGAGTAGGCCTAATTTAACTGTTGGACTAATGAACAGAGGCATGTAAAACCTATTTTGGTCTTTAAGAAATAGTCCAGGGGCCAAAAACATGAAATTTGGTTTATTTTTCACCAGTGGCAGTCTAAAAATGGTCCTTGCAGTTTCGGATTGTGATGCACTTTGCCTAACTAATTGACTGGACTCAACATCTAGATTCAAGATGTTTTATTTTCTCTTTTAAAATATTCACATCATTTTACAAACACGTGAAATTGTCAACTGAAAAAACACAATAACCCTTATACCATTGTCAAACTATACCAAAAATCAAATATTAAAGGTTCATCATCAGACAAATCTTTCATGAGGGTCGTCCACGAAGAAACCACCATCAGGGCTTGGCGTGATAAGTAGTGGGAGTAGCTCCGCCATTCTCACATCGGCGTGCACAGCCCAGCCGTTCAGTACGCTTTTAAGTTCTAACTGTGCTAGAGAGAGCATCGTACGGTTCCACGTTCTGCTGATATAATAACCTAAAAACATGAGAGCCGTCTAAGAAAATTCTGCCAAGTATGAAGTGTGAAGTGTGTGGTGTAATAAGATTTCTGTGGTTGAAGAATCACATAGGCTAGCAGCTGAAATTCATCGTGAATTATGTGCCGTGTATGGCCCAAACATTATGAGTGAAGGTATAAACTGTCAATAGGTTCTTTTTTTTAAATGAAAGAACGAACATTCATGATGAAGATCGGAGTGGTAGGCCATCTCTTGACACTGTTGATTGGATGAACAGACTGAACGAGAAAATTCGTGAAAACTAGAGCTTCACAACCTCAGAGCTTTCCGGGAATTTCCCTGGAATTTCTCGAAGTCTGTTGCATGAGATAGTGTCAGAAAAACTTGGCTCTCACAAGTTTTGTGCTCATTGGATTCCAAAAGTGCTCACCGACGATCGCAAAATGAAAAGAATGAGTTCTGCCATAGACTTTCTCACTTGGTATATGACGTTGAAGGAGACACCTTTTTGAACAGGATCTTTACTGGAGATGAGACTTGGTCAGCCTATGTGAATGCCGAAACAAAACAATAAATGCAATGTGGCCATTCTGCTTCACCTAGCAAGTTAAAGATAGCTCGCCAATTTTTTTCAGCGAGAAATATGATGGCTACAGTTTTTGGTAGGCTAATGCTAAGGGCATCTTACTCGAAGTTGAACTTATGGAGCGTGGTACGACTATTACATCTGCAGCTTATTGTGAAACCTTAAAACGGCTACGACGAGCAATTCAAAACAAGCATCATGGTCTTTTTAAATAAAAAATAAAATAAATATTCTCTATATTCTTTACCTTGATTGAATCGATTGATTTTCTTCAAACGCAAATTATTCACGCCTGTACGAAATTTAATTTATTATTCCATAAAGGTGTGAAAACATCAAAAAGTTGCCCCCTGGTGGGGTTTGAATTAATTTAATTTACCTTAATTAGACTTATGACAATAGACAATATGAGGATATACAATCCTACAGAGCCGCACAGTGCAATAAAAGATGTTATAAGAGTGGGCCAGTGTAATTAAATTACCTCAGAAGTCCGTTGGTGGGCCATGAGAGATCTGGTTGATGTCCACCTTCAAACACCTTCCTGAGCTTAATACTATAGCTTAATAATACTATCACTTCTTAATGTCAATTAAATATGCTTGTTTAATACTCTTTGAAAGGAAACGTTTGGAACTGGTGAATGATATTATTATGAATTGATGATTCTGTGTAAGTTAAGATATTGCAAATAGTAAGGATTGAAATATACTGATTTAAACTTAATTGTTTTTTCAATTCAGTTTAATAAATAATTTATATATTGTCGTGGATGACTATAGTTTTGGGGTTAAAACCCCATTTTCAAATCTTCTCTTCAGTTGTCATATGTCAAACATATTCTCTTCCACAAGCCGTCGCCAAAATTACTTCATACATACACATACAAAAACATTTATAATACAAAAACATGTACATGCGCGTGAGGCCGGCCAAGGACAAAACCGGACTGCGGGATTTGGTTTATGTATTATAAATTTTTTCTTATGTGTTTATGTGTAGGCCTATTTATGGACAACGGCTTGTGCAAGAGAATATGTTTGACATATGACGACTGAAGAGAAGATTTGAAAATGGTGTTTTAACCCCGAAATTATAGTCATCCACGACAATATAGGACTGATTGACAACAGGTTAGTAACCTCATTTTATGTTAAAAAATAATATTCAAGTATTCAGAATTTATACCACAAACTTAACCTTCATTGCAATGTGGCAATTTTAATAAATAATTTTCACTCTGGATTTGTGACCATGTGACTACAACTGACCAACTAAGACATGAAATAATCAGACCAAATGTGACATGATTGTGCAAACTATAGAATGAATTATAATTGTGAGAAGCGGCAGATTGGCAGTAAGTTACTAAACTATTTCTAAATCACAAACAATACAAAACATTTAGGGCTTACGTACACATGTCGACACATTTAACACTCATACCGACGAAGATTCACACATGTACAAACATTTAAAAACTGACTCGGAGCATTTGTCTGACCGAGCGGAATTTTCACGACAACGGTTTTTTCACAAGTAGGACTTAACAATTCTTTTGTTTTCGAGCTGGCGTTTTTGATTCAATTGAAAAGACCGTCACGACAATTTACGACTCGATAAGAAATTTACATTTGCGATCGATTTGATGCATGTACAAATTACCTCACGAACGCAACAATCAATCCGGAAATCTCAACTGTCTCAACTTAAAACTAGTAAAACACTTCCCCCAATCGCAGTTTGGCGAAATTTTGACAATTGCGATCATTTGATGCATGTACAATTTTCACCCAAACTGAAATATCCGAGCTACGAATTAGATAAAGATAAAATTGTTGTTGATGGCGCTGCTACGAGTGAAGTTTTGCGCTTGGCATAGTTTCAGTCCTTCGCTCTCATATCAATCCACGTTACGTCATGGTTGGACGGACTTGTCCGTTGCCTTGGCGCGGATTTTAAACCTTTGGATTTAAAATCGGCACATTTTCTGACATAGCTAGCATTTTGTTTTTCCATGACAAAGTTCGCCCTCACACAGCACAAAGAACAACTGAACTTCGGAAAAGTTCATATGGGACATTTTGACTATATTGACTATATTTGAATATGATGTTTGACTATTTAATTGTATAATTTTAGGGAGGAATGCCAATCTCAAACAAAAGGGTTTCCTCAGGCCAAGTATAAAAAATTTAGTACTGAAAATGAAGCCAAGAAATTTATGGAAACAAACACAATTAATAGCTCAAACCTCCTCTCCATTGCTACTGCTGTAGAGAATATTAATCTTCCAGAACTAAAACCTCTTGGTAAATATTCATCCCAAACATTACTCAAACAAGACAAATTAAGTATGCTTGCCGAAAAACTTGACCAATTCATGGAACAAACAAACAAGAAACTGGATGAACTCGCCAAGAGACTGGACAACTTTGAGGCATGTTGTGCTAAGTAAGTAATTTTATTGTTATAAAATAAATGTCTGTTTTGGTGTTTTTGTACCTTAGACCCTCTTCTCCGTCACTGACTATTGTTGGATAGATTTACCAACCCAATTACATTCATAAAATAAAATGATACCAAAAAGCTGATAGGCCTATCCAAAATTATAGATGACAGCAATAGCTGGCAAACTTATGTAAGTTTGAGTATTGACTTTTGGATACACTGCAGTAGACATCCCATCTATATGTAACAGTGGTTGCCAGTTTTTTATCCAAAAAGAACAGTGCTGTCCCGTGGGTGGGGACCGGGGCGACCCCCGCGGTCAGGGGTACTTGGGTTGCGTCGCGAGTGCCACGGCAAAAGTAGGCCTAATACAACAAATTTAAAAAAAATTAAGTTAGATGTACATTTAACGCAATTTATAAAGTTATGTATAACTGAATTTTGAATACTACGTTGTATGCATTTATTGAACGAATACATATTATTTGACACCAATCATCTATTCTTACAATTCAGTTTTAAAAATCTTTAAAGTACAACTAAAGCTAGAGTTCTACTGGACTGATTTTATTAATTAATGGGTCGTTGGAAAGGTTAAGTCGTGTAGATTTGCAAATAATTATGAAAGTTTGTTTTTGTTATGATTTATGTTGAAAAGTTTAAAAAAACATGTTTTCCATAAGAAATACATTGAAAACGGTGTTTTTCACACTTTTTATTTGTGTGCGACTTTTAGCTGCCATTTTTGAATATTTCCAAGAAGTGCATGGTATCAATTTGTAGGAAATTTTATTCTCTTTCAGAATATCACCTTCCACTTTGGTCGATTTCCTCACCATTTAAAAGTTATTTGCAAAAAATCTAAGCAACCTTTTGGGATATTTTTGTTAAACTTTGTACAACTAAACCTAGAATTCTACTGGACCAATTTTGTTAATTAATGGGTCATTAGAAAGCCTAACTCATGTAGATTTGCAAATAATTATTAAATTGTGATTTTATTAAATATTTGTGGTGAAAAAGTTAAAATAACAAAAATACATTAAAAACTGCTATTTTCAAGTTTCTGTTTTCAAGTTTTTGTAGCCAGCTTTTGGCTGCCTTTATTAAGTATTTTCAAGAAATGCATAGTAGTTATTTGTAGTAAATTTTATTCTCTTTCAGAATATCACATTCACATTCATTACTTAATGGGTTGTTGAAAAGCCTAATTTGTGTAGATTTGCAAATAATTATGAAAGTTTGATTTTATTAGATATTTGAGGTGAAAAAAATAAAATAAAAAATAATACATTTAAAACTCCTTTTTCCATGTTTATATTTCCAATTTTATATTTGTAGCCAACTTTAAGGCTGCCTTTATTGAGTATTTTCAAGAAGTACATGATAGTAATTTGTAGGAAATTTTATTCTCTTTCAGAATATCACCTTCCACTTTGGTCGATTTCCTCACCATTTCAAAGTCATTTGCAAAAACGTTAAGCAACCTCCAAATTTATAGTAGTGAGAAAATACTGAATTAAAGATGTTGTTGTTAAGCTTTGTACAATTAAATCTACAGTTCTACTGAACCGATTTTATTAATTAATAGGTCATTGGATAGCCTAATTTGTGAAGATTTGCAAATAATTATGAAAGTACTGTTGAGTTTGCAAGCAAGATCGTTTGGCTATAAATCGATGATAAATAACTCAATTTTTTGAACAATTTGTGTTGGTCGTGATTTAGCTGTGTGCTTTAATGAAATGGAAGCTGGTATTTCAATGAAGGTTCTTAGGTCAAAACAAATAGAATAACGTAATTAGAATTAAGTAAATATATCTATGAAACTAAATTCCATATTCAAGATATAATCAAATTTATATTTTCTGATTTAGCGATACAGTATCTTGAACTTAACTGATTAAATCTATCAATATCTCAAGTGAAAGCCTTTGAAGTATTTTAAGATAAAGACATATGAAATAACTTAAATTAAAATATAGTTACGTATCATTGATTGCAGATAGGTACTAAAAAGATTGTAATTATTGTTGATTTGTGATTCAGCAGTGTGCTTTAGGTAGTCCGATCTTAATAATCAATAGCTCAAATGAGAGCTGGTATTTCACTTAAGGTTTTTAGACCAAAATGTATAATGTAATTAGAACTGCTCTGCTGGAATACATTGTTAATTGAAGTGAAAAAAAAATTCTTTCGTCGAGTAATACATTAGATAAATTAATGATGATGCTTGATGACAAATATGTGCTTGCATAGCTTTAAGATCAAAATTATGAAAATCGGTCGGGTAGAAGAGCTAACACGACTCGGAAAAGAAAAACCATTTATTTTTATAGATGGCAATAATTAGTTTACCAGTATGCATAATCTAATCATACGAAACATGTGTTAATAATTCAACAGCTTATTGTTATATTGTTATCTAATTAATTTTTCTTTGATTAAATGTTGTTAACAATTTGCATTTGTGTTTAAAGTGTGTTCCTTATGTTAATTGTGTGATTCTAATGTTATGTGCTTAAACTGTACCATTAATATTAGTGAGTAAAGTGGTGTATCGATTTCATAACCATTATTTTACTAGAGACCGTTGTATTTAACCACAACGGGCACTGTTGCTAGTTTTATATATTTGCAAAGTTTTCCCAGTGTCGCTCTGTACACAATGAGTAGATGCAATGTTTTATTTTTATTTCACGCCGACGGCCGACCTTGGGCCTCTGACGATGACTAACGCTAGAGACAATTATACCTCAAATATGCACGTGTTGACGTGTCGCCCCTCTGCCACCCTCCACCGGCTTCTCCAATAATTGCACTAAGAGCTTTATTAACTTATACACCAGTGCAGTGACTGTATAGTAACATATACAGGGTGTTCCAAAAAGGTGGGGGTCATAATTTACGTAGTGATTCCTTGGATCAAAATAAAGAGAATATCAAGAAAAACATTTTACAAAATCGCTTTGTTTACCAGATCTGCCATTTTGTATTTTTTACACAAACATTTTTATCTGTTGAAGTTTTTCAACCGATCTTTATGAAACTTGGTAGGTATGTATGTTAAGATAAAAGAGACCCATGTTAGGGGGAAAAATCATCATGAGAGGAGGGAGGGGGGGCCTGAAAACATCCCACCCCGGGCTCTAATAAACCACGCACTGGTCCTGAAAAAGAACATAGTTGTATGATCCAGTCACAGGTCGCACTAGTATTTATATTCTATATCCTACCTCATTTTTTGTCACAGAGATAGTATTTTAGTATCTTCCTATAAGTTTTAATTGGTTTAAAAACCTGCATATTCAATAGAAATTATTAATTTATATCAACACAATATGTCGGTGATATAAATTACAGACCGGCGATATAAATTGGTGAGTTAATTCAACTACGTCCATATTGACAAGAAAACCTGGTGACAGAATATAAATAGATACATCATTACTGTTTCATATTCCAATTTTCTAATAAATACCCAGTTTATCCTTATTTTCCTATCTCAACAATCAGCACATTGAGCACATATCCCTTTAGCACCCTTTAGTTCTCCTCCTGACATTATGTGATCAACCAATTAATTTATGTTTTAGCTAAGTCATATAATTTTAAAGTATATATTTTTTGATTTTCAGAGGATCTTCTGAGGGAAAAAGGAAAAATGATCAAAACAGTAGTTCTGATGAATTTAGTGAATCTAAGAAAAAGAGGTTTGTATTTCAAGTTTATTCAATTAAAGCAAAGCATTACTGTTGATATATATGTCAAATGTCAGTTTTAAACACAGTTCTATAAACCCTATGTATGTATTACGAGTGTTCTTTGTAAACTTAGTTCCCATCATGCTCTCTTCGCAGCAAGCAGGCTTGTTCAAATTTGAGACCAAAGTTGTGTTTCCTACGTCATCCACTGCTATTCTAGTGGGAACCCATATGGAATGATTAGTGTTGTCATCGTATTCGAAAACATGATTTGATTGTTTGCTGTGATTAGACTTGAAATGTGGTCCCAGTCGTCTACCGCTATAGAACTACTATAGAAAAATGTTATAAATACAAAAGTTGTAGGAAAACTAACCAGAAATAAAACAAAACAAATTGCAGCTCGATAGCTTACATGTCATTCGAATTATGATCAATTAAGTAAAACACTGCAATTTCTATTTTTGGAGGGGGGTGGGGGGGGGGGAAAGCTCAAGGGTTAGAAGTGGGGACTTTTGGGAAAATACACCTCTCATGTGGTTCTATCACATATAAAAAATCCAGCTTTCCACCATTTAGTTGCGAAAAAGAGTGTTTTATTGCATTCACTGGGCTATAATGATGTTGTTTACCAAGAAGTCAATTGATTTTAAACACTACTACACTACTAAACCGTACTGTACTAAACACTACTGTATTTTTTGCTTTAAATCCATAACATTTGTAGTCATTCTGCAGTCACCGTTTTTATGTAGCTGTAAGTCTTTTTGAAAAAAAATTGTGGACGCCTTAACAAAGGGTGCCTTGGCTTGCCAACAGCGAAGAAAGGCATTGTGTGAAATATGACTGTTTAACTTGATACACACAACCTTGCTGTTGTGAACCTTAATTCTCGTTGCAGTTTGAATTGCTAGAAAAAAATAAACACGCCCCCATTGAAACCATTGTTTCCTCTAGCTAGAACACACTGTTAAGTGTTAACTACCTCTGCCCCAGCAAATCTGCAGACTAAGTGCAGGCCTATTTGCCTGATATAATATTCCTTAAAACATTTCCTTAAAAATGTCCAACATGTTCCCTTTTGTTAAATAAACATTTGATAACAACATAAGTATATTCAATTTTAAATTCTTATTGCTTGTTATAAGGTGACGTTTATAAAATCGACAACAGGTCAAAAGTTATTCAATCCATTGTTATATTTTGTGAAAATAAAGAAAATAAAAAGACTCATCCATTCACTAAAAAAAAGGTTATTGCAAATTTATTTCCAATGTGTAATAAATGCATTTTGTTTCAGACTGTTGGAAACAGACAGTGTAGATGAGTTAGGGGAAAGGAGAAGTACAAGGAATAAATCCAATAGTGCAAACGGAAGTGTTGAAGAAGTAGATTACCCATGGCGGGGTAACAGTAATTCTTCACATGATGGCTTCATCATTGATCCTGATGGGTTTACTGTGGTGTACACAGATGGCGCTTGTTCCAACAATGGCAAGCGTGGAGCTAAAGCCGGAATTGGGATTTGGTTCAACCATGAACATCCGTTGTATGTATTCTATTTGCCACGTTAAAAGTAATCTAGCAAATTAAGCTTGAAGTCTGTAACTATAGTCTTAATTGTATGATATAGCTTTTGGATCACTGTACTATTTCATTAGAGTACAGTAGTTTTCAAACGGATCTGTAAACATTCAGACAAACATATACAGACATCAAAACCACTTTTTTTATTCAGAGGGTCCCAAAACAGACGATATTTCCATTAAAAAAACTAGAAAATTTTGACAAAAACAATACTTTCTACATATACAATGCACAGGCAGAAAAGTAAAAACATATCGGCCATTGGGGTGCACTCTTATAACAAAGTTGATATTGAGAGTATTATATAGATAACGTACACATATACCTCTTCAATTTTGCCATACAAAATAACTTTATAATTATAGGGTCTTATCCATAACTTATAAGTGACCGGTACACCTAAACATCAGAGTTTTTATTTTTTTAATTTTGTGTGATATACATTTTTTAAACAGAAAAAGGACAGGAGTTAGCTAGGGTCAACTCTTTTTGTTGTGGAATTTGGTCAATCTTGTGATTATACTATTTATTGTAGTTGCATTTAAAATTTGTTAAAACAAGCTAGTTATCTGATTAAAAAACATATAATTTTGTCAATTATGTTGCAGTAATGTGGCTGCTCCAGTGCAGGGTAATGCAACAAATAACAACGCTGAGATTCAAGCTGCTACTCGAGCCATTCACCAGGCAGCCCTAGCTGGTAATTTGAAGTCTTATTACATTGCAGTTTTAATAAAAACGTCTTACTGTATTACAGCCACAAAAGAGTAGGTTAGATTACACAAGTTTTTAACAACTAAAATGTAAAAAAACACACTTTATTAAGTACAGTATGAAGATTTCAGTAGCCTAATAAAGTAATAATATAAAAGTGTTTATACATAAACAAATAGATGTATCAAAATACAAATTAACAAGGAATTTATAGCTAAAAACATTAAGCCAGTCAGATATTTGATAATAACCAAATATATTTTGAGTTTTACAAAGTTGCATATATTTCAATATTTGGTCCTTTAGTAGGTGTATTTCAGGCATTTTTCAGCATAATACATTAACCAATTTTTTACATTACTCTATAGTATTGTTAACTCCATAGTATTGTTTGCTACTAATAAAGCCATGCATGACAAACGTTATTAATACAAACAAATTGGTTCTATGATATGCAATAGCGTTAAAAAGTTATAAGGTTTACCAACAGGGTGCAGCACTATTATTTTTTTGCATTAATGACAAGAATTGTCCGGTTAAAGAGATGTCATTTCCGCCGAGTGTAGTCCGGTTAAACCAATGTCCGGTTAAAAGGTGTCTGGGAGTCTACTGTAGTGTTATTTCTGATTTCTAACAGTAAGGCCCCAAAGCAGAATGGTTCCTACGTGTCTGCAACGGCCTGTGAAAACCTCAAAATGTGTCCGCAAGCGCTAAAACTAAAAAGCTAAATAATGACTTATATACCGGTATATATATATATATATATATATATATATATATATATTCACTCTTTAGGGCTACTAGTAATATAGTTAAATAAAAAAAGTAAATTTCAATAACTTGTATAGCCTACTTTTAAAACAAAAAACTAAAAAACTATTAAGGGGTAGGCATAATCAGGTTATTTAAATTTACTTTTTTTTAAATACGTATATATATACACATACCTTAACAAGGTCTTCAGAAGTAAAACTTTAAATGTACTATAGTTTCTTTATATAAACACACTATAAAGGGATGGACGGGATTGAAATTTTAGTTCGGGACGGGACGGGACGGGATTTTTATTTCCTTACCGATTTTCGGGACGGGATGGGACAGGATTTTTTTCTGTGCATAAAAAAAGTACTGTATTGCAGTTACCAAAAAAGACATACGAAATCAATTTTTACCATTTGTGGCACTGATCTGTAAAAACCAAAAAATGGGTAACAATTTACAGGTACCTATAGAAACTTGTGACTCGCGGGTCACGGGGTGATCGTCTGTAGAACTCACGGTCACGGCGCGATCGTCGTCATGACTCGCGGTCACGGCGCGATCTTCGGTATGACTCGCGGTCACGGTGCGATCGTCGGTATGACTCGCGGTCACGGCTCGATCGTCAGCATGACTCCGCCATCACGGCATGATCGTCAGTATGACTCCGCGGTCACAGCGCGATCGTCGGTAGGACTCTGCGGTCACGGCGCGATCGTCGGTAGGACTCCGCAGTCACGGGGTTATCGTCGGTATGACTCCACGGTCACGGCGCGATCGTCGGTATGACTCGCGGTCACGGTGCGATCGTCGGTAGGACTCCGCGGTCACGTCGTGATCGTCGGTATGACTCGCCATCATGGCATGATCGTCATTATGACTCCGCGGTAACGGCGCGATCGTCGGTATGACTCGCGGTCACGGCATGATCGTCGGTATGACTCGTGGTCACAGCGTGATCGTCGGTAGGACTCCACGGTCACGGCATGATCGTCAGTATGACTCCGCGGTCACGGCACGATCGTCGGTAGGACTCCGTGGTCACGGCGCGATCGTCGGTAGGACTCCGTGGTCACGGCGCGATCGTCGGTATGACTCGCGGTCACGGTGCGATCGTCGGTAGGACTCCGCGGTCACGTCGTGATCGTCGGTATGACTCGCCATCATGGCATGATCGTCAGTATGACTCCGCGGTAACGGCGCGATCGTCGGTTGGACTCCGCGGTCACGGCGCGATCGTCGGTATGACTCGCGGTCACGGCATGATCGTCGGTATGACTCGTGGTCACAGCGTGATCGTCGGTAGGACTTCGCGGTCACGGCGCGATCGTCGTTATGACTCCGCGGTCACGGCGTGACTGTCGGTATAACTCCGCGGTCACAGCCCGATCGTCGTTATGACTCGCGGTCACGGTGCGATCGTCGGTCCAATAATCGCGGCCACGGCGCGATCGTCGTTATGACTCCGTAAATGTGTCCGCAGGCCCGCGTTTCTCGGCGTTTCGTGTCCGCGACAATGTCGCTCGTTGTTCTGCTTTGGGGCAGTAAGGTTTGCTAGTTAATTGTTTTGAATAAATAATCGTGCATTAAATAATTAAATGATTAAATGAACATGGCGGCCATTTCAGATAAAAGTATTAGAGGCTGTTTGGGAGCTCTGTATTAGCGCTAGTCCGCGACTAAGAACCGGATATTTCCGGTATTTAGGCTGCCGCCTAGAAAACGGGTTTGGGAGCTCGGGATCAGTTAGGCGCACGCCTAACTTGTGCAGGGATAATCTCGCGCCTAAATATTGTTGGTTTGGGAGTCAAGTAGACTTAGGCGCCAGCCTAAGAGATAGTCTCGGTTGGTTTGGGAGACCAATTTCGGGACTAAGAAATATATTTTCGTCATAAAAATTAGTGAGTTTAGTCCCCAACTTTAGTCCTGCCAGGGGGCAGGTCTAAGTCGACATCATGCCGGTATTACCTCATTAGCAAGTTGATTGTTTACATATTAACTAAAAGAATGTTATATAGTACTGTAATTCGTTATTAAATTCCGAACAATTTCATTACTCTCAAAGTATATTTGATAAAAGTTTTTTTTTAGGTTTCTGTTGTTCAAAATAAAACAAAAATCTTGCAGAAAGCTAAATTTAACAAAAGATTATTTGGTTTTTGTTTTACTGTTAACTGCAATATAATTAAGGTACGGGTGCTTATACTGTATAGCCAAACTCTCAGTTGAAAGAAATTCCATTTAGGGTCCATATCTATGGACCCTAAATTGAATTTCTTTCAACTGAGAGTTTGGCTATAAGTACCCGTACCTTAATTATAAATATTTTATTATCTAGGAAAAAATTAGCAATCGCATGCATATCCCCTACTCACCCCCTACGAAAGAGTGAAGAAATAGTAAACAAAACATAAAAAACTGCAAATAGCTCACAGTCATAATAGTTTTCTTTTAATAGCGTTGTGATTGAGCTCAGTTCAGTGTCGTTGACCAAGTGCTAGTTACATCAAAATGGAGTACCTAGATTATTTGGAGTAGCCTATAAGAAAATATATACAGTATATCAATAACCCGCCACAGAAAACCTGCAGACTAAGCGAATTTCCAAATAACCTAATAGGACTTTCAATTAATTTTTTTTAAATAACTTAAGGTTTAACAAGTACCTAAAACTACCCACGTGTAGGTATAATGCTACAGGGAGGGTAATTAAGTGTGTTTTTCACCAAAATATTAACAGGTTTATAAAAAATAAATAAATTTGCCAAGTTTCATCAAAATATATCCATAAATGACCACACTACAACAGTTAACTTATTCTCCATAAGAATCACATGGTGATTTTAAATTTACAACTTTCTGAATAGTCTCTGTAGCCAATAACCGTACACAACATTTTAAGATACTAATTTGTTTTTTATACTCTTTCAAATATTTTAAAAATAAAGATTTATGTTTTAGGGGTTAAAATTGAGAAAAAAACTATTTTTATCCCATAAAACCCCGGGCTCCCATGGTCTGATCATGCTGGTTCCCAAACTCATTAAGGTTTATCGCGCCTTACACTTTCATGCAAAATTTTATCAAAATCAGACAAAAATTACTCACGTTCATGGACGTATATATAATGTATTGGCTATACATAGGCCTATATAAACATTTGAACAAATAGGGCATGTTTTTGTCCTCTAGGGACATCAAAATGGAAAAGTATATCGGTCCCGGAACTAAGGGCTACCTATGGTAATAGCTACTTCCCTATAGGATAATTAGATAAAAGAGTGTCATGTTTAAAATTTTTATAGGTAATTGACAACAAATTTTTTTGTAAGTATTCAAAGATATACCTTTGCTTCACACAATCATAACCTCCGCAATTACTTAAAATACTTTTCATTGTTTTATTTCCGTCAATACCCATATATTATACAGGGCAATTTGCTGTTTAATTTTGAAGCTTTTTATTGCATGAAACCGAGTTTCAGATGTTACCGTTCCACACACAAGGTAATCTTTGTTAAATGATTACCTAATGTTTTTGATCTCTGAAAGAAATCATAATGATTTTCAGAAACCTATGTTGCTCTGTACGTATTTATAAGGTGTAGTACCATAGATAAAACATAGCCGTCATTGAGATGTAAATCAACGATCTTACAAAACTACATTTTTGCAATGGTACAATGCAGAAACTTACACCATAGTCTACTAATTAGCCACCGTTGATATACCAAGATAAAATTGTATCCATCTTAAATTGTTCATCTTTTGTTGTTGTCAACGGTAACGTGCTCTGCAGTGGCCGTTACCAACGTCAAAACCTGAATTCCCCGTGATTCCCTGTCCATCTAGCTGCGCTGCAACTTAGTCGCGACTATACTTGATCTACGACCATTTCAACTTAGGCGCGAGTTCCCAAGCCTGGTTTTTTGTCCGGGGACTAAAGTTAGGCGCGTCCAACACTAGGCGCGTACTAGCTGGGCTCGAGTTCCCAAACCGCCCCTTAATGTTCTTTTCCCGTGGCCTATTAGTGACAATATAAAAGGTCTTAATTTTTCAGGCATAAAAAGACTGAACATTCATACAGATTCCCAATTTATGATCAGCTGTATGACAGATTGGATAAAAAAGTGGAGAAAAAATAATTGGATGACAAGTACTGGAGGGCCAGTGAAAAATAAAGAGCAACTCGTCTTGTTGGATAAGGCAATCAACGGCATGGATGCTGTGAAGTGGGTAAGTAGGTCTTCTAAAACAGATTATGTACATTTAGGTAATAAGTTAGGCCTAACTAGAAGAACGTTTAGGCGCCATTGAAACGTTTAGGGTGCAATAATTAAAATAAAAACTAGGGAAGGATGAGATTGGATTTTTAGTTCGAGAGGAGATATTTTATTTATCATAAAATTTTGAGACGGGATTTCCCTTCTCATACCAAATTCACAAGTCTAAAACAACAGTCTTACTATTTAAGTATCAAGTAACAATTTTTCAGTCTTGTGTTATTTTCAGAATGGTTTTGAAGTGACTTATTTTATTTTGGCTATGTTTACAGTAGTAAAACATGTCTCAAACTGCTTACACTAACAAAACTTCTCATCATTTCCTATGTCAATACAAAAAATTATAAAACAATTAAAGCAATATTTACATGTAAAGAATTATTCATTAAATAAAAACGCCTTCGCAAAGGAACGCAACATCAACACGCTCCTGTATTGCGGGTATTGCATTGACTTTCTGCAGGGTTTGTTTTTTTATTAAATCTCGTATCGAAAAAACCCGACCAAAATATAATCTTGTAGAATGAGATTTAAAATTTCCGAGGGGAAATTTCTAGACCCCTCCATCCCTAAATTTAGTATATCAAAGTGTTTTTCTACGGTTATTGGTAACGGAGAAAATTCAAAGATTGTAAATTAAAAATTTCCATGTTATTCTTATAGAGAATATTGTAAAATATTGTAGTTTTCTTGTTTGATGGGTATTTGATCAAACTTGGCAAATTTATTTATTTTATACTAATTGTTTTTTATCCATACCGAGGACGATCCCATTGGGTTGCGACATTCCAATGACTAACATGTCGCAACCAGAGAGCGCATATTTGCAACTCGCAACATTGCTGGTCAACAGCTGAGATGTAAAATATTATCACGAGTCGGTTATTGTACTTTATTGTAGATATTTTCAATATTGATTAGTTGTCTGTATGGAAATAATTAATTGTTTAAAGAGCATAAAGTAAAGGTTTTGTCTCACAAACCCTAAAAATTCAGTATTTGAAACTACACCAACAGCAGAAAACCACATCTTAGAGAATTCAGAGTGTTTATTTGCAGTTTTGCCAGTTTTTACTAATTATTTTGCCGTCTTTATGGTTACTCTTTAACTTATTTCTAAGAGTACATTCGTCAGTGGAATTCATTAGTTTTGAACAAAAATTCTATTTTCTTAGGCCTAGCACAAAACTGTACAATTTGTCTAACACCAATTAATTAATCAATTAATGGGTAGAGGAAGCTCGATGTCAAATATAGGCCAATAAACTATTAAATATGAGATTAACTACTATAATATCAAGTCTTAGGCCTATACAATGGCTCATGCAGCTTTAATAAAGATAATACTATAAAGATACTATATTTAGATGGAGGATTTTTATTTTGGTAATTTGTTACTGTGTCAGTAAAGCAAGATTATTTAGGCCTGCGATGCTTTTCACTGACTTGAGACGACAGTGTCGTGGGCAAAATATTGTGCAAATAGCATGATAAAATGTTTTATGTATTTGTTTATTACATATTTTACACTGTATTTTATCATCAAAATTTTACGTAGGTCTATGTTTTTTTGTTAACGTCACCTACAAATTTTAAGTTTTTTTTTACCTTATGACAGATAGGTAGACAAATAAAAAAACAATCATTCAAAATTTGGAATCATAACCATAAAGTTATTGAATCTTATCTACTAATATTTCACGCTTAGATAACATAGGTCTGTTTTATGAAGTTTGCTGTAAGATAAGATACATAGACGTTTTTCTGATATTAACTTTAAGCTAATACTTTATAGAGGCACGTTGTAAGTAAATTTGATAACTTTTAATAAAAAAACTTAAAAAAAACGACAATAACTATGAAAAAACTGAAACTGTTAAAAGTGTTTGGTGAATTTTTAAGATTTATATTTCACATACTCTTTATAACTTGGATATGTTTAAATCTTATCTTTGAAGAAGAAGTCATATAGTAAAATGACAGTTATTTAAAAGTAAACATATGAGTTGACCTTAGAAAGAAAATGTCAGTAAATTGTTGTAAAGAGAAAAAAATCACTAATTTTAAAAGTCATAAGTACTTACAAAAAAAGTGTAAGTTTTTAACATATCAATTTGTAATTTATAAAAGTTTAGAGTTTGCCTGTGTGGCTACATAAAAAGTACATCTGTATTCGTAAATACTGTATAAAAACTTCAATCAAATCGAAGGCAAAGCAATTTTGCTATTAGGGCACATTTGGCTTGATCAGTATACCCAAAATTAAAAAATATGAATTTTTTCAATTCACCGCTAATTGTAAAATATATATTAAACTGATTTGCACAAAACATAATTTAAACCCCAAGTATATATTTAAGTAACCACAAGGGCTGTTTAGAAATTTAGGGAATGTTTCCATCTGATGCCGAAAAGTGCAGTCGCGTGCTTCCTAGTACCTACGAGTTTGTCTACTTTTATTTGTTTTGTGCAACAAACTAATGACTCGGGTAGCAGCACAGCGCTTTGATTACGATGAGGACCTTGGATTGTGTGTCACCAGGTTTCTGAGCTCGCATGCGACAGAATCCTATGGCATAGGAATTTTATAGCTCGTCTTCTGCTATGATAAATGGCTTAACTTGTTTGGTGACTATCTAGAACTGTAGTATTATAGTTGCTCTTTCAAAGGCATGATAAACATTTTTTGTTGAACAATTTTTTTTCCAAAACTTTCCTTCCTTCCTGAACAGCCCTTGTATGGTTATTGTTTGATTGATTGACCCTCCATGGTGTTAGGTATCTAGGAGTGTAAGCTATGCCACTGGAAGAAACCAACCCCTCAATCAGATGTGAACATTTTACTAGCCAAAAGTCCCGGAATGTCAGCCTGCAGAGTGTGATCATGTCAATAATTTGCCACAAATTCAAAATATTTTCTGATTACACTTTCAAAATTGTTATCTTTAGCTTAGTTTTTTGTTCCAGACCCACGTGCGAGGCCACATGGGGAACATTGGCAATGAGTGTGCAGACGCCTTGGCTGTCCAGGGGGCAACAATGTATCAGCAACTGTGATATATGTTGCGGTTGAATAAAAATTATATCATTTCAAAAAGTAAGTTGTCAAAGCGTGTTTTATAAATAAACTATGTACTAAATAAACTATGTTGGAAATCATATAGGTATTCTTTACCTCCGTTAGACTCAGATTCCATCCTGTTAAGTAGTTTTTTTGTTTTCACCCGGAACAAAAACACGGACATTAACCACCTCTCCTTTATTTATTCAGTAATAGTATAAACTGAATACTCTTTCAGATATACTGCATTAAATTTCTGCTGTACGAGGTTTATGAAACAACTTGTATTATTAGAGAAAGATTGAGTATAGCTACAATTAATCTCTGTGTAGTGGCTTAGTCTGAAGGTTGCCACACTTGTATACAAAGTTTAATCAAAATGATTGATAGGGAGTGTGCTTATTCCTGAGCTGCTTCTCCACACAGATGACTCCCTCTGTTACATTTTGCTAAGTGTAAAGAAAATAAGGAATAACTAGATAAAAAATAATAGTAGGCTACCCGGCGATCTGGCCCAAAATTGATATTGCGCATGCTCTAGGTAGGGTACTCTCAGCTGGTCTAACCACAACTGATTAGCTGTTGACATTAGTTGACCACGTGACGTCAGTAGGTGTTTGTATTTTGTGGATAAAAAGTGTTGGCCTGACCGGGTTTCGAACCCCGGTCTTTTGAATGGTAGTTGTATGCGTTAGCTGATTGAGCTACAACAGCAGTGTTACGGGTATAGGTTTTATATCGGTAAATGACACCTTGTACCTATATACAGGGTGTGTAAATATTGGAGGTTTGATTTTAACCTATCATTGGAGGTTCACGGGTTCGAATCTAACCTATGTTAGAGGTTCACGGGTTCGAATCTAACCAACCACTAATGGTATTGTAGTGGGAGGTTTATGGGTTCAATCCTAACATATGCTAGAGGTCTATGGGTTTAATGCTAACCTATCATTGGAGGTTCATGGGTTCGAATCTAACCAACCACTAATGGTATTGTATTATAGTGGGAGGTTTATGGGTTCAATCCTAACCTATGCTAGAGGTCTATGGGTTTAATGCTAACCTATCATTGGAGGTTCATGGGTTCGAATCTAATCTATGTTAGAGGTTCACGGGTTCGAATCTAACCAACCACTAATGGTATTGTATTATAGTGGGAGGTTTATGGGTTCAATCCTAACCTAGGTTATATGAATTTATATATGTAACCAAAAGTTAAACAGGTCTATTATACTAGAGTGCTAATGGTGATGGTATAATTATAGTAATGAATGTATAAATATATAAGACTAGCTGTACCCGCGGGCTTTGCCCCGTTTAACTTCATATGTGAGCTCGTTCGCATGGCTCAATCACGTCCTGGTTGAAGTTCGTTCGCTACGCTCACTCACCTTTAGGTTGGAGCTCGTTCGCTGCGCTCACACGTCCTGGTTGAAGTTCGTTCGCTACGCTTACTCACCTTTACGGTTGGAGCTCGTTCGCTGCGCTCACTTGCCTTCAGGTTAGCTCGTTCGCTACGCTACCTCGCCTCCGGGTTGAAGTTCGTTCGCTACGCTCACTCACCTTTTGGTTTCAAATTAGCTGTTGTCAAATATTAAAAAATAATAATAGCGCTGCACTCTGTTGGTAATCCTTGTAACTTTAATGCTATTGAACATCATAGAACAGAACCAACTTGTTTAATTGAAACAGCTGTTATGATTCATTAATTCCATTTAAATATGAGTACTCATTAGGTTAACATGGGAAACTCCAGAGCCACTGGGGTGGAGCCCGAGAGTCCGATCAGAATAAAAACCACTTAGTTTTCCTATTTAATGCCTAAAGAATCAGTGTACCAAATTTCAGCCTCCTAGGTAAGTGGGAAGTGGGAGAATTAGTGATGAGTGAGTGAGTCAGTCAGTCAGTCAGTCAGTGAGGGCTTTGCCTTTTATATATATAAGATAGATTCACTATAATAGATTATATACTATATATTACTTGTACTATATTTTAATATATCTTTTAAACGTTTTAGTCTAAGTTGTTAGAGCTTACAAACTTTTTATCGTGTAGCAGTGATTCTTACTATCTCGGCTGATTACGTGACCTCAAACCAACGCTTTGTTAATCAGTAACAACTGATTATATGACTTTGGATTGTTTTCTACAGCTGTAGCTGTGTAGTTTAGTTTGTTTAGAGTTGGCATCAGTATTACAGCTTCTATTATGGGTAAGTATTAGAAGTAACTATTTATTAAAACTAATACTATTTTGAATTTGTATTATAATACAAATGTATTAACAATAAAGGGTTTTTGAGGTTAAATAAAAACAGTAGATTTTACTCAGAGAAATATATATTTAGTCTATCGGCTATAAATTTTCTACAAAAAGGACATCTATACACTCTGTACGCGCAATTAGGGCACAATGTATGTCCACATGGTTGTAAAGCAACCGTGGGTGCATTTTCCAAGCAAATTTGACACGTTACTGAATTAATTGGGGGATTTGATGGTCGTGGGACTCGTTCTGATATCATAGTGTCTATTTGGTTGGTAGTCTGCCTCAATACACCTTCTAAAGTGTTACGGAGATCCTCCCATAGAGCTGATATAACTGCTGGTTGTAGTCCACATGCATAGGAATAACCTTCTAGTGTATTTCCAGCTAAGTTGGCTATAGTTAGTAGTTCATTCCGTAGTGTTGAGATTCTATCAGCTGCTGCAGCAGGTAGGGTAAATTCCGGGTTATTCATAGACTGAAAGATATTATACAAGAATTAATGTTTTTATCTATTTATATAAAATAGTATAAACCATAAATCAGCTGGCTAGTAAAATTTATTACAGTAGTATACAATAAATCTCTCTCAAGTTGGAGGTAAACAATAGTTAAATTTGTGTGGAAAGTTTATTGTAGTGTAAACATATTAATTTATTTATACTTAATTTCTCTTTAAAGGATACCTACCCTTTGAAGTAACCTCCTGCGAAAGGTTTCAATGCGAGCGCTCTGCCGGCAGCCACGACATTCACGTGTTTCAGGTATAGTTGAAGTAGAATTCTGAAAATAGAAACATATATATTTATTAAGCTGATTAAACAGATAACACAAATCAGAGGTCATATCATATACAATATAATCAGTAGTTGGTAAAACACAGCTACTGCTACCTAATACCACAGTTCATTTGTATAATTTACTATAGTAATTCAAGCATATCTTTATACATTTATTATTATAAACTTGGTAGAAAAACAGAGGTTATGTTACAAGAACACCTAACCTGTAGTTGGCTAGACGCCGGTGCTGTAACCTAGTAGAGAATTTGTAAACTAAGAGTAACATACTGTTAACACTTAATAATAAATTATTAAGTAAAAAGTGAGGTTATGTTACATATACAAAGTCACATAAGTGGCTAACAGTAGTTGGTAGCACTAGTGCTGCAACCTAGTAGAGAATTTATAAACTAATACCTCAACCCTCAGACAACCTCAGATAGTAATCTGTTATGATGAATCTTATATCAAGTTAATCATTATTATAATTATACCATCAACACTGGCGCTCCAGTGGTGAATTAACAAAGTGGTTTGGGTAAAAAGTGAGGTTATGTTACATATACAAGAGATCAAACCTTCAGAACTCATATACAAACAGTTAACTATACCAACAAAAAAAAAAAAAAAACACCCCAACCGGAAATGATTGGTGATTGGTAAGGATTAAACCCATGAACCTCCAATACAAGAATAAAACAACCCAAAATGACTCATTTAGCATAAAGTCAAACATACTATATTTAGTGAACTTTAATGGTAAAGTTAAGCCTTCTTTCAGCTGTTTCACATTTATTATACACTATAGCATATTTATATATATATATATATATAATATAACATTCAACATTTACCAATTATGCTCAACGATAAAAGTTAAGCACTATACACTATATAAAATAAAGTGTTTTTTTTACAAATCCTACTGTGATAGGATTGAACCCATAAACCTCCCACTATAATACAATACCATTAGTAGTTGGTTAGATTTGAACCCGTGAACCTCTAATAACATGTTTTGTGACTAGTTAGCATTAAATCTCTAGCATAGGTTAGGATTGAATAACCGGAAGTGATATATTTTATGTTAGGTTAGATTCAAACCCGTGAACCTCTAGCATAGGCTAGAATTGAACCTCTAAACCAGGTTAAAATCAAACCTTCAATACACACCCTGTATATAGGTACAAGGTGTCATTTACCGATATAAAACCTATACCCGTAACACTGCTGTTGTAGCTCAATCAGCTAACGCATACAACTACCATTCAAAAGACCGGAGTTCGAAACCCGGTCAGGCCAACACTTTTTATCCACAAAATACAAACACCTACTGACGTCACGTGGTCAACTAATGTCAACAGCTAATCAGTTGTGGTTAGACCAGCTGAGAGTACCCTACCTAGAGCATGCGCAATATCAATTTTGGGCCAGATCGCCGGGTAGCCTACTGGTATCCTTTAAAGAGAAATTAAGTATAAATAAATTAATATGTTTACACTACAATAAACTTTCCACACAAATTTAGCTATTGTTTACCTCCAACTTGAGAGAGATTTATTGTATACTACTGTAATAAATTTTACTAGCCAGCTGATTTATGGTTTATACTATTTTATATAAATAGATAAAAACATTAATTCTTGTATAATATCTTTCAGTCTATGAATAACCCGGAATTTACCCTACCTGCTGAAGCAGCAGATAGAATCTCAACACTACGGAATGAACTACTAACTATAGCCAACTTAGCTGGAAATACACTAGAAGGTTATTCCTATGCATGTGGACTACAACCAGCAGTTATATCAGCTCTATGGGAGGATCTCCGTAACACTTTAGAAGGTGTATTGAGGCAGACTACCAACCAAATAGACACTATGATATCAGAACGAGTCCCACGACCATCAAATCCCCCAATTAATTCAGTAACGTGTCAAATTTGCTTGGAAAATGCACCCACGGTTGCTTTACAACCATGTGGACATACATTGTGCCCTAATTGCGCGTACAGAGTGTATAGATGTCCTTTTTGTAGAAAATTTATAGCCGATAGACTAAATATATGAGTGAAAATTTAAAAACGTACGTTTTCATGTCCCTGGCCTTTTACTTCGTAGATACTGGATTTGTAGTTTATTATTATGTGTTTTAATATTTTTTGGGACGGGGGCAACATGTTACACACATTTATTTGGTTTTAAATAGGTTCTAGGTATTTTTTTCGTATTTTTAAAGTCTCGAAATTCACGACCATGACGTGTCCCTAGGGTACATTTTCCAACTTTCACGCTGTTTTTAGACTAATTATTCATGCCGAAATATATAAAGCCATATTTTTATGTCATCAATGGTTATTAAACTCACAAAAAAGGAGCATAATATAATTTTATTGTCATTGCAAACTGACTACCATGACAAAATAAGTCTGTCCCTCGATTTGGCGTCACGACCATTTGGGAAAAATTTTCAACTTTGGAGCACGACAGTGGCAAGCCTGGCGTCGATGGAGTCAGTTGGTTTTAGAGACTAGTTCGGGGTGTACGTCAGGATTGTAGTGCCGGCCGTTTCGAGTTGAAAGGAGGAATTACAAGATTAATAAAGGAAAGATAGTGTTTTTTGTAATTTTGGTGTGTCCATGACCGTACGTAGTCATTCGATGAAGTAGACATGGTGTTAATTTTTGTTTATAAGATATTTCAATTGCTAGATTAACCTAGAAGTCCAATTTGTATCCTCGAACATGAGGTGCAGGGCTACCGCCAGAACAGAGCCAAATAACACGTAATTTCACGACCAAAGTTTCACGACCATCGCGGGTTTTTTCACGACCAATCCAGCCTTATGGATTATAGTGTGTTTGGTCGTGACAATAATTTTAATATAATTGTAAATTGAACAGTTTAGTTCAATTGAAACACATATTTTTATTATAACTAACAGTATAATTGAAGGATTGTTTGGAAAGATTTAGATTATTTCAGAAAATTCACGACCGTACCGCTTGTCCCTGACCATCACGTTTACGATTTCTATCATAAAAATTTCAAAAACTAAAATATCGTCATATTTCAATGTTTTATACACAAAAGAAGCACACCTCTATACAAACATAACGATTTTTCGGGTCTCAGGTAAGTTTTTTCGGAGTTATACAAACTTAGAAAGATTTTATTGGCTTTTTTCAATTTTTTGAGTTTTTTTTATTTTTTTATAGAAAGACCAAATATACCAAAAGCTCAGTGACCTTTTTATTGTATAATGGTCATAAAAGTACATTAGTTTATAGCAAAACATAGTTATAAAAATAATATTAACTATTTTTAATATTCATTTAAACGTCTGTTATGGTCGTGACAGGATTTTGTGTTTCTCCACTAAAGATGCTCTTTTTTAAAAAAACTACCAAAGATATTGCGTTACCATAGACATTTTATGAAACTTCAAATGTTAATGAAATAAAAAAAATAATAAAAGTTTTGAAAAAAGGGGGAAAAAATTTGCAAAGTGCTTTTCCTGAAAACGTACGTTTTTAAATTTTCACTCATATATTTCTCTGAGTAAAATCTACTGTTTTTATTTAACCTCAAAAACCCTTTATTGTTAATACATTTGTATTATAATACAAATTCAAAATAGTATTAGTTTTAATAAATAGTTACTTCTAATACTTACCCATAATAGAAGCTGTAATACTGATGCCAACTCTAAACAAACTAAACTACACAGCTACAGCTGTAGAAAACAATCCAAAGTCATATAATCAGTTGTTACTGATTAACAAAGCGTTGGTTTGAGGTCACGTAATCAGCCGAGATAGTAAGAATCACTGCTACACGATAAAAAGTTTGTAAGCTCTAACAACTTAGACTAAAACGTTTAAAAGATATATTAAAATATAGTACAAGTAATATATAGTATATAATCCATTATAGTGAATCTTATATATTTATACATTCATTACTATAATTATACCATCACCATTAGCACTCTAGTATAATAGACCTGTTTAACTTTTGGTTACATATATAAATTCATATAACCTAGGTTAGGATTGAACCCATAAACCTCCCACTATAATACAATACCATTAGTGGTTGGTTAGATTCGAACCCGTGAACCTCTAACATAGATTAGATTCGAACCCATGAACCTCCAATGATAGGTTAGCATTAAACCCATAGACCTCTAGCATAGGTTAGGATTGAACCCATAAACCTCCCACTATAATACAATACCATTAGTGGTTGGTTAGATTCGAACCCATGAACCTCCAATGATAGGTTAGCATTAAACCCATAGACCTCTAGCATATGTTAGGATTGAACCCATAAACCTCCCACTACAATACCATTAGTGGTTGGTTAGATTCGAACCCGTGAACCTCTAACATAGGTTAGATTCGATCGCCGGGTAGCCTACTAATAATAATTGTATAACTTGTGTGCAAAGTGGAACTTTGCTGCATACAAGAGAAATGCTCACGCACGAGCCGCAGGGGAGTGTGGAAAGTTTCTAGAGTGTGGAAACTTTACACTCGTCTTACACATTATATTATCTTCTCTACAGTTACTATAAAGCATATAAAAAACTAGTCTTTCAAACACTATACATCACGTTTTTAGGTTAGGGAAATGGAAACGCTGGACCAGCTGATCGTCGTAGTATCTTTAAGTGTTGCCAACAATGCCAAGCGTACACGGATTACGTGTCTAATAAAAGCACGCCGTTTTGTGTTGTTTGCTTGGAATACTGGAGTGCGGCAAAAGTAAGGTGATGCAGCAATTAGCAAGTTTCTGTACTACAATCAGTGCAAAGAAGCCTACTTTGTCAGGTGACTGCAGGAAAAGTGCATTTTCCTGTATGTAAAGATGTTCTTAAAAATGTTTTGGTTGTTGAGGGGGATAAAACCAACTGTACAAGGATAAATTCATCTGTATTCTTAACTGTTTATCATTCATGTCGTATAAGAGAACAAAGAATAATTCACAATAATAATTTTGTGGTACAAAAATTCAGTGAAACAGACGATTGAACCAATTAGTTGGCTGCGAGGCACAATAGATGTTACCAACCAGAATAGCTAGGTTATATAGATTATATACGTATATTTTTGATATCTGACATTATTAGTTAAGATTATTGATTTTACCTCATGTTCAATATCAGTTTCAGTAGATAGTTCAAGCTCATAATTCAATAGATTTGTGATAGCGTCTTAACACTGTCACCGAACTAGTATTTTTTTCACAAGAGAACATTTCTTCAGTTTGAATAATTTACTTTTAACTGATCATCCAATTATCCTCATTTCTACCTTTTGTTTGTCTGTTTGTTTACTGAACTAAGATAATAACTGAACAATTTTTATCTTTCTAAAAACTTCTTATCAGTAATAATATGTGAGTTAAGATTATTTGATTCTCCTATTCGCTATGGTGGAGAGAGTTCATTTTGAAGTTGAAGTGACAGTTTCAAATCAAAATGCCATTTTATGCTGTCGTTTCTGGAAAAAATCCAGGAATTTATACCAATTGGTGAGTATTAGATGAATATTGTCTTTAAAACTGGTCGCTGAATCTAGTCCATCTCCTTTTAAGGATTTTTATTTTACATTTAAGACTATTTTAGAGGAAAGTTTTTAGTAAAATAATTTTACCACAAATAATTTGTCCGCTCTTTACTATGTTCACAACTCTCTAAAAGGGGATGGGGGATGGTTAAATTGTAGAGGAGGCCTGGATGGGGTCATACCCTTCTTAATCGGTTTAAGTTTCTTTACCTTCAATCCTAAAATTTCTTTTGAATGCTTTCCATAAATTACTGATTAAATCACATAATTTAGAACACATACAGGTTAGATTGTGTGATAAATAGAGCACACTTTAATAAATTTTAAAATCAAAAACTTAAAGTAAGTTGTCAAATAAATAACCTTATCCCTACTCCAGGGATGATTGTAGAGAACAAATCACAAACTATCCAGGAGCTTGGTACAAAAAATTCAAGACAGAACATGAAGCTGACAAATGTATGAAAAGTAAGGACATAGCGTTGCGGTCCAGTGGTCTAGCTGCTTATACGCCTCAGAAGATTGCAGACTACAGTGTGCCAATCTGGGCATCGCGCAACACTGCCAAGTATTCTTCTCCTGATACGTTTTCTGTGAATTTAAGAACGAACAAAACTGAAGAGAAATATGATAAAAAAAAGAGGTGTTATGACAAATGTCCGGATTACTACACTGTTAAGGTACCAGGATTATATGATAGGATGAATTATATAGAGAAAAATGCTACTTCATTATACACAAGGTAAGAAACCAAGTATTTAATTACAAAATGAATCAAAGCTAGAGTTAGCCTATTTAACTAAAAAAAAACAATAATATTGCGTGAAATTACATTAAACGTTCAGTTTTTAGGTGTTTGTTGCCTCTTGCCTTGCTTCTCTTAAGTCTTATATCTTTCTTCAGGAATTTATAATTTGTTAACATTTTTCAAGGATACCAGCTACGTAAATTCATATTTAGATCCAAGACTCGATTTAAGCAGTAAAACAGCATTCCAGGACCTTTCTCGCTTTATTTTGTCAAAGCCCTAAAACAGAGTACAGTATAGTCATGATTATCCTACCTAAACTGGCCTACCAATGGATATATAAAGGGTGAGTTTTAATTGTCCCCCCCCAAATTTTTTCTACATTTTTTTCAAATATCAATCCCAGTCCACTTCCAAACATTGTTGTGTAGTAAGTACTTAATTTTGACAAGGTGGTCATTTCCGGCCGCCATCTTGGATCCGCCATATTGGATGCAAAATATTTTTTCAAATGTAAAGGTGGGGTTGTGTGACCGATTATTTCGAACTAGATTTTTACCCTGGTTACAATGCCATAAACCGTTTACAAAAATCTTGATCCATTCCAAAGTTATGAGGGCTTTTTAAAACTTTATTTTTAGCCAATTTTAACATTGTGCATTTACAAACTAAGACCATTATCTCAAAATACTGCTAGATAAAGATAAGTATACACTACCAGTCATTTTCGACCTATTTTCACTTGGTTATGACCGATGTATTTTTTCGGCCGCCATCTTGGATCGGTTATTTGAAATATGATCAATTACAGTAGAACCTCTTTAATCCGAACCCCCGTAATCCGAACGTCCACTAATCCGAACCCCTCATTGCTGTACTCTATACAAAGTACCGGTACAGCAGTTCTTTATTGTATACGGTATTTAATGTACAGTACTGTTTATTCACCATGTTTAATACTGTATTAAATAAACACTGTATTTTAATTTATAAAACATTTTTTTCACTTTTCCCAAAATAATTTAGATCAATTTTAGCCATGTTTTAGCTAATCAACAATATGTTCTGTAATCCGAACAATTCACTAGTCCGAACTACCCCTGGTCCCAATTAGTTCGGATTAAAGAGGTTCTACTGTATTTGAAATGAATGGGGTGTTGTAACCCATCATATCGAACTACTTTTTTAAGCCAAACTCAATGCCACAATCAATTTTTTGTTATCAAGTTTTATTTATGAATTATTACATTTTTTGTGTTAAAATACATCCGTAATTTTGAGATTATGGTCTTAGTTTGTAAATGCTCAATGTTAAAATGGGCTAAAAATAAAGTTTTAAAAAGCTCTCATAACTTTGGAATGGATCAAGATTTTTTTTAACGGTTTGTGGCATTGTAACCAGGGTAGAAATCTAGTTGGAAATAATCGGTCACAACCCCACCTTTACATTTGAAAAAAATATTTTGCATCCAATGTGGCAGATCCAAGATGGCGGCCGGAAATGACCACCTTGTCAAAATGATGTACCCAACAATGTTTGGAAGTGGTCTGGGATTGATATTTGAAAAAATGTAGGTAAAAATTGGGGGGGGGGACAATTAAAACTCACTCTGTATGTTTAAAATCTTAAAATTTCTCTGTTACCAAACCCATTCAAGGCTTTAAGTTTGCCTTTCAGTACTGTTTTATATTTTGATGTCTTCATCATGTATCATTATTACCATAGATAAAACATACTCCCTTAGTAGATTTCCCATCCTTATGGAACAGCTGAAGCCAATTTTATTGTTAGTTCTGTACGGTTTTCTGTAGAGGTCGTGTTTTGTTTACAATTTGTTTCCCGTTATTGCAGCCATTTAAATCCTCGTTTAACCGAATAATACGATCTAATCATAAACAATAACTTGTCCCCTAGTTATATAACCAAACAGTAAAGCACAAATCAAGAAATTAACCCTAAAATAATGGAAACAAAGTTTCGTCGACACTAGCGCCTTTGTGTCACGTACATGAACTAGACACGAAAAACGTGCTTCAAAATTTACAATGGGATGAGACGTCTACTTGTGTTGGTTAGTCTATGTTATTACTTTCTCCTCCTAAAGTATAGAAAGTATTGTTTTTGTCAACATTTTTGAGTATGAGTTTAGAGTGGGTATATTCATTTTGGGTCCCCCTCCTGAACCCAAAAATGTTGTTTTTAAAGTTATGTCTGTGTGTGTGTGTGTGTGGATGTGCACAGAGCTACAGACTACACTTGTAGTCCGATTTTGATGAAACTTTGTATGTAGGTACTAATACATAGTGTCTACAGGCTTTTTTCAATTTTTTTACAATATTGATTTTTAATGATTTTCCCATAAAACAACGGATTTTTTCCAAAATGGTCTGAACAATTTCGATACAAATTTAGTATTGTTATAATCCTTTAAATTCTGAACAAAATTGTAAAATCCCATTTCTGTAAAAATTGGAAACTTTGGTTCCAAAGTTATTGTAACTTATATTATTTTCCCATAAAATAACAAAAAATTGGATTTTAGGAAAAAACTGGGTTCGATTAAAATTTGTATGTTGTGGTCTTTTAAATTCTGAACATAATGGTACAAATCCTATTTCCGTAAAAATTACGGTTCAAAATTTATTGTAACTTGTGTTATTTTCCCATAAAAACCCATGAAATAACAAAAATTGGATTTTAGGAAAAAAGCTGGATTTTATTAAAATGGATATGTTATGGTACTTTCTAATTCTTAACAAAATAGTGCAACCCCCAATTGCTGTAACAATTACAGTTCGAAAGTGATTGCAACTTTTGTGATTTTTCCCTATAAAATATCCCACTGCTTACTAATGATAAAGGTTGTTGACAAGCTTATGGGAGAAAGTATGTGTCAGATTGCTGATACAGTTTATATTTAATAAAATTAAAAAGTATAAATACCACTGTTGCAACTGTAAAATATGAGGTAATGGGATGAGTCATGTGAGATGTATGTTGACATGAGGAGTTGACAAACAGTTTGGCGAAAATCAAGCTTGACCCTTTGTGTGCCTGAAATTTATTTTGGTACTTTCTTAAAAGTGCCAGGCTTGCCGCGGGGGTAAAGAGTAGTGCGCAAGAATAAAAATTGGTAAAAGTATAAATTTACATCCCAAAAGTGCCAAGGAATGATACATTGTGCCTCGATCGAATGAAAAATCGAATGAAATCATCCTTGTTTTAAAATAACAACCGAGTCAACCGATAGGCCAATTAAAACTCACATGATCAAAAGTCGTGCTGGCCCAATACATCCCTATCGTTGCGAATGTATTTTTTGGATGTTCCGTGCAAACGATATATCGTTGTGTAGCACTCTAAGGGTTAAACAATAAAAAAGTAATCAGATATAGTTGCTTGAACTGTGGTGTGTATCTTGATCTTCCGAGTTCAGTTGAGAGTAGGAAAAGATGTTTCATAACGTATCCGCAGTAGCGTACCGACGGGGGGGGGGGGGGGGGGGGCCCAGGCCCCACACCAACATAGGCCCCCAAATCAGTGCCGTATTCCCCTAACTTCGAACACGGCCATTGCCGAGGGCCTCTTGGCCTAGGAAGGGGCCTTACTTGGGTCTCAAAAATTGGAAATTAAATTTTGCTGTTGAATATAATCATCTGTTCTCACAATCACCGGAAGCGTCTGCAATGATTGCGCGATCGAAAATCACGACTCCCAGCGATTGCGACGATAATAAGGTCTCGCAACAGCAAAAGATGTTCCGTGTTCACGATTTTGGGGGACAATAATGTTGTCCACGTGTTTGCCGGGGATGTTAACGATTTCGGCTTGTAGAATATATCCCTGCGTCCGCGAAAGATGTTCACTATTCCACCGTAAACATAGGACATATTTACAATTGCTCCGCGGTCTCGGAGATAAGTTGCGCGACCGCGGGAGACGGAGATTACGACCCCACAAACACGGACGCTCACGATTTCGTCTGCACCGTGGTCAATATAGTTTTTTTTTTGCCCCGATCACAGAAGTCGTTTGGACCAATCATAGTAAAATATAATGTATAATATAAAGATAGGCTAATATAATTATATAATGCATTTTATACAAAAATAGTAGGCCTATCTCCTAAATAAAAAAAAAATTTAAAGAAGTGGCAGAAAAAACCGAGTTGTGTTACTTCTTGGATTGCTCGTGCTTATTTCGAATCTCAAACTCATAAAAGCTTAAAATGTTAAAAACTTAAAGGAAAATGTAATTTAGCATCATTCAATTTTTCTCAAATACAAAAATAGATTACATTTAAAATAGTTGAAGTAAGCTCATTTAATCAGTGATACAAAATACATTAAAACATTAAAAGCGTATATTTCTTTTTAGTTCTAATCACTGTTTAGGGTTCCTTTTTTAATAAACACCATGGTCCTGTTTAAAATAATTTTAAACATAAAATGATTTTAAACAGGTTTGGCCTACTATGGAATTTATTATTTCACTTGTATATATATGTATGTAAAAAAGGCCCTCTCATCTAAGCCGCCCCAGGCCCCCAACTATGACAGTACGCCACTGCGTATCCGCTACGGTGTAGTCATACCCCACGATTTCACAGTACTTGTCTGGCAACTAGAATTTGGCCTGAGTGTGCGGTCCAGTTAGCTGTGAGTGAAAGCTCATTAAGTAAAATAAGTAAATAAGATTTTCATGTTAATTAAGTACACATAAAATTTAATTTTTTAACCATAGTTTTTCAGGGTTTACAAGATAAACTATTAACTTCATTCTAATTTGATGATTTCTTTACCAAAAACTTTGTCTTAGTCCTTTGGCCAGAAACATGGAGCAAAAATATGAAACAGGTCAGATGTATGCAAGCATGCCACCTTACTTTGATTATTGGGGAAATACCAGTAATCCCATGCCTTATACGTTTGATAGCAACTGGCTTCATGCAATACACACAAATCAAATTTATGTTCCACCTCTCATTGAAGATTACGAGGGGTTCATTGATGTCTACATTGACGGGGCAGTCTCACGTAAAAGAGGGGTCAAGCCTAGAGGAGGGATCGGAGTATGGTTCAACCATGAACATCCGTTGTAAGTATTTTCATATTTTAAATTTGTACCAATGTCTGAAAAAAAGTTGTAATGCAATGTAACTTGTTGAGTTACGTGTGAAATTGGAAAAAAGGGTGTTTATTTTACAACAATCTATTTATTGATAGCCACACTATCTCAGGCAGTTACCTTGATTTTAAAGTGATCTCAAACTCAACCTTATGCTTGGAACAAACCAAAATTGACATGCACTTGTTTGAAAGTTAACAAATATGGTTAGTAGTTAAACTTACTCCAAATACTGCATAAATGGATTGTCCGGTCGAACGTTAACGCATGAAAGTTTTCTCAGGAACGTAACCGCCCCAATAGAAGGCGTTGTGTCACCAATAAACGCAGAAATACAAGCAGCAACTAGAGCGATTCAACAGGCTGCAGCAGCAGGTGAGTTTTAAATTTAAATTTTAGTTAGCATTACTAGTTAGTAAGATATGACTTCATTTATTTTGTATGGTGTGCTCTTTGGACTGTTTGCGAGTCAAGAGGAAATGCATCTCTGTTTTGTTATTTTATTTAAGTTTCAGTAACTTCGCTAATTGTTAAAAACCGGATGGCTGAATAAATCTTAAATCTTGACTGCCAATTAAGATAAAATCTGTATTAATCAAAATAATTCTACTTAACGTTTGTTAATACCAAAGTGGCACTCTTTTTCATTACTAGTCTTGAGTTTTTTAGTCTTTTAATACCGACAATTGGAAGTGTACCCCGTTCATAAAGGTATTCTTTCAGGATTAACAAGATTGAACATCCATACTGACTCTTTATATTTGGTCAAATCAATAACTGAATGGATAAAGATGTGGAAAAGAAACCACTGGCAAACCAATACTGGGAAAACAGTCAAGTACAGAGGGGCCCTTGAAAGACTTTCTCACATCAAAGGCTGTATGGAAGCTGTGAGATGGGTCTGTATTATATTTGACATAATCCTTGATATTTTGTTGATAGAATTAGCTATGTTGTTGATACCATTCTACCTCTCAACATCTCTATCAAAAATTTATGTAGTTAAGATGCTTGCCTGGTCGTAAACGATTGGTCAAGCAAAATTCAAAGTCTTTTGTGCTTAAAAACCGGACTCAGCTGTCCTTGTTCATCGGGCTTTAGACAAACTGATGGTTCTGGTTAAATAACCCGCTTATACCATGTTTGAAGGGTTTTAAAGTTATTGTGAAAGCTACAATATAATTTATTACACTTATCTTTGCTTTAAAATGAGCACATCGGTGTTAAATCTTAAAAATGCTTTGTGAGTTTACTAAGAGGTAGGAGTATATTTTTCTCATCAACCTATTGACAAAATATTGTCAAAGGGCAGCACATGGATTTGATTACAGAATCATAGTTTTTTACAAGCAAGTATACAAAAAAATAGGGTAAAAATAAGATAGTATTGAAATTTATTAAAAGTAAAGCACAACAAGTACAAGCTTTGATCCTAAAAAAAGTCCGTAGCTTTTTAATAATTCAAAACTTGGACCAACAGTTCTTGATTATTGGGCTTTTGTTTTGATAAACGATCCTTGCTAATGAAACAGCTGGTCTTAGTCAGTAACAAACGTACACATATGATCTCACTCCATTCTACTCTCACATTGAGTTATTTATGTTCAGCTTAAAATATGCACCTACATATGTGATCACTGTCTCAAAATCAGCTAATAAATAATTGACGACGGATAACTACTTCATAAAAGTAGTGATGTAAAAGTGATGTGATAAAAGTAGTGGCTTCATTACAAAGCGAGTAACGTGCTTGAGAAGATATAGTGCTAACATCTTTTTTCATTCAGTATAGCAAACATTGTAGTTTTATTTTGGCTGGTTTTTTAATGATCATTATTTTTAGATACACATTAAGAGCCACCAAGGGAATGAAGGCAATGAGTGTGCAGATACTTTGGCCCGAAACGGTGTAAATATCCATGGGATAAACAAATACAGCGCCTATTCTGTTTAATGGAGTCACTAAAAAAAAAAAAAAAAAAACTATCAGCATTATACATTTTTCTGTTAAGAAATAAGTATTACCATTGTTGTTAAAATTAATAATTGCATTTACTGATACACTGCTGCATACAATACTGATGCATAATTTATGTTGAGTTGAAACTGAAGGTATCCCTACCCTTTATTTTTTAATAAAATGTAATTTTTGCTCAACTTGATTTATTTGCTTTATAATTAAAGAGAAAAATTGCATAACCTGTATATCTCGTATATAGGGAGTCAATTGGTGCAATAAATGTATGTTTTTTAAACTTTGTAGCTAGTTACTTATTTCTCCTTTCATCCAAAATTGAGTGTGATTGGATGGAAATATTATTTTTTTTAAAGAAACGAATATTTTGTTGGTTGTTTTTTTGTAATTTGGCCTCTAAAGCCTCGTCCACACTGGTAGATTTCTGTTCAGAAACATTCCATGCAGACTTTTTCCCATTCACGTTTCTAATTTGTGTATGGGATGTTTACACTACTCTTTGAAAATAATCTGGACACATTTTTGTTATTGGAGTATGGTTTTTTGGAAACAGTCTGCGTACAATTAATGTTTAAAAAAAAAACAACAATACACACACTTTTCAGCAGGTTTTTTTTCAGCAGGTTCATCAAACATTTTCTTTTTTCATGCTCTTTCATTTGATATGTCACAAGGGGTACCTTGCTATTTAAAAAAAATTAGTTGGGGGCAGGGGGGGAATGTGAATGTAACGTAGAATTCAAAACAATTGAGCCCCCTACGTCAATAGATGATTCTCGCAAACTGCATATTTCTATCTATTGCGGTTTTTACATAAATAAAGATGCAAGTTTTAAAAAAAACACCCTGTATAAATGTTTCGTATGTGAGTGTATGGCTACATGTGAATTTCAACAATGACCAATTATCTCTTTTCACCTGGTCTAAAGAATCAACCATTTTCTATAAACCATCCTCCAAGGAATATGTAAAAACAGATAATAAAATATTAAAATAAATAAACAAGACAAAATATACAAAACAGTTTATTACAAAAAGACTTAAACTCAACTCAATACTGTATACATAGTTACAATCTAATCAGAGGGGAAACCGTAAACCTTGAGGTTGCCAGTATCTCTCTTGCGGTCGTACTGGTCTTTGTCATCACAAGCGTAGGCTAGCAGGTACAACTTGGGGTGCCAAGCTACAGTGAAGGTGGCTGCTTCCACAGTGATGTCTCCTACCTTGGCTCCAGTCTCCACCTCAGCTATGTCTATCATCAGGTCCTCACTGGCGGACGCTAGCAGCTGCCCATTGTGACTGAAGCTGATAGTCCTCACAGGCCAGTCTAGCCTGTAACACATCACATTAGACTCAGGAGTAGGCCTAATCACTGACAGAGGCTAGCAGCTGCCCATTGTGACTGAAGCTGATAGTCCTCACAGGCCAGTCTAGCCTGTAACACATCACATTAGACTCAGGAGTAGGCCTAATCACTGACAGAGGCTAGCAGCTGCCCATTGTGACTGAAGCTGATAGTCCTCACAGGCCAGTCTAGCCTGTAACACATCACATTAGACTCAGGAGTAGGCCTAATCACTGACAGAGGCTAGCAGCTGCCCATTGTGACTGAAGCTGATAGTCCTCACAGGCCAGTCTAGCCTGTAACACATCACATTAGACTCAGGAGTAGGCCTAATCACTGACAGAGGCTAGCAGCTGCCCATTGTGACTGAAGCTGATAGTCCTCACAGGCCAGTCTAGCCTGTAACACATCACATTAGACTCAGGAGTAGGCCTAATCACTGACAGAGGCTAGCAGCTGCCCATTGTGACTGAAGCTGATAGTCCTCACAGGCCAGTCTAGCCTGTAACACATCACATTAGACTCAGGAGTAGGCCTAATCACTGACAGAGGCTAGCAGCTGCCCATCGTGGCTGAAGCTGATAGTCCTCACAGGCCAGTCTAGCCTGTAACACATCACATTAGACTCAGGAGTAGGCCTAATCACTGACAGAGGCTAGCAGCTGCCCATTGTGACTGAAGCTGATAGTCCTCACAGGCCAGTCTAGCCTGTAACACATCACATTAGACTCATGAGTAGGCCTACCCACTGACAGAGGCTAGCAGCTGCCCATTGTGACTGAAGCTGATAGTCCTCACAGGCCAGTCTAGCCTGTAACACATCACATTAGACTCATGAGTAGGCCTGCCCACTGACAGAGGCTAGCAGCTGCCCATTGTGACTGAAGCTGATAGTCCTCACAGGCCAGTCTAGCCTGTAACACATCACATTAAACTCATGAGTAGGCCTAATCACTGACAGAGGCTAGCAGCTGCCCATTGTGACTGAAGCTGATAGTCCTCACAGGCCAGTCTAGCCTGTAACACATCACATTAAACTCGAGTAGGCCTACCCACTGACGGAGGCTAGCAGCTGTCTTGACTGCAGCTGATAGTCCTCACAGGCCAGTCTAAGACTCAAGAGTAGGCCACTGACAGAGGCTAGCAGCTGCCCATCGTGACTAGACTGAAGCTGATAGTCCTCACAGGCCAGTCTAGCCTGTAACACATCACATTAGACTCATGAGTAGGCCTACCCAGACGGACGCTAGCAGCTGCCCATAGTGACTGAAGCTGATAGTGTTCACAGGCCAGTCTAGCCTGTAAAAGCTAAGTAGAAAATAGTATAAGCAAAAATATGATATTTAAATATATTGGAAGTTTGTGCCAGCTTAGAATTAACTAATTAACTACTATCCTAATATTGTAAACTGTTGTAGTAACAAAAACTAATTCCTATATTGAAAACAAAAAAACGTTTAACTAAAAGTTAAATTTACTTTACCTGGGTATAGTGAAAGAAAAAGCACTTTTGATGGTGGTAATAAGGAGGAGTATCAATTAGAGAAAATGACCTTGTAATGATGGGAGGGAGTGTACAGCTTAGTTGTGGACTGTGGTTGGTGTCGTGCCAGAAGCGACCGTGCCAGAAGCGACCCGTGCCGCTAGCGACCCACCAATTTTGTACCGTGCCGCTAGCGACCCAAGAATTTGTAGCGGGAGGCGAGTTATGAATTAACGCCGATTCAACTTATATTCTTAACAAAAACTAAACAGAAATACACTATAAAACCATTAAAACGATTAGCTGTCACATTAAATACATAACAAAATACTCCCGCCGCAGCAGTCCTGCAGACTAAATTTATTCCCATTTGGGGAAGAAAATTTGTTTTGTGTGTTGTTATGTAAATTGTTTCGTATAATTCATACAAGTATACATTTACCAACACATATCCATAAATTAAATAAGCAAACTATAACAGTTTGTAGACTCCAGGTGCATTTATTGTAATAGGCCTATTTATTTATTTTTCGTTCGTGTATGTGTGTGTAAAAGTTTATGGACATTAGTAAACAATGATAAGTATTTTTCATCACTTCTCACCGAAAGTAACTATTTTCGATAACAGCTGACATCAATGAAAGTAGCCGTTTCCCAAGCTCTAATTTAGGGCGAGGGAAAATCGATCAGCTGATTTTCCCTCGCTCTAAATTTACTTTCCCTCGCTCTCAATTAGTTTTCCATTTATTCACTACGCGCGCTAGTGTTTTGTTAAGGTTTAACTTAATGATTTAAATCAGCTGTATGTATTGTTCAATAGTTATTTGTGTAACTAGTGGTGAAAGTGGCACTTTGCTGCACACGAGAGCAATGTTTACGCACTCGCCTGCGGCTCGTGCGGAATGATCTCGAGTGCAGCAAAGGCCTTTTTCACTCGTGTTACACATTATATTTTTCCTACAGTCACTATAAAGCATTTAAATAATTAGTCTTCCAAACACTATACAACACGTTTTTAGGTTCAGCTGGCAACACAAATGGTGCCCTAGAGAAAGTAGTACCCGCGGTCCGTATCACTCCGCTATTTTTCCTCGGCAAGAAATGTGCTATGTGCTCCGCGTTTTGAGAATATAGTTCCGTATTTTTTTGTAATTTGAAGTGGTTTCCGTGCCTAAAAAAATGCTTTAAAGGTATTTTCTTGTTTATTAAGATCGTAGGAATGTTTTAAAAACGTTTAAAAGAAAAGTCCAGAAAGTTCAGAAATACCGAAACTATAAACACGAAATGACAGGTTAAATCGTAGTTATAATAGTCAATCAGCTGCTCGTAGAATTTTTATCTTTAAGTGTTGCCAACCTATTTCCAAGCGTACACGGATTACGTGCGTAATAGAACCACGCTGTTTTGTGTTGTTTCGTTGGAATCCTGATGTGCGGCAAAGTATAAACCGTACGGCAAAGTATAAACCGTACGGCAAAGTATAAATATGCAGCAATTAACAGCTTTCTGTACTATAAACAGTACAAGGAAGCCAACTTTGTCGGGTGACTGTAGGAAAAATCGTTTTATTCTTTTACTAGTTGCTCTGCCCGTGCTTCGCTACAGGGTGAGAATGCAGAAAAGAATAATTCGGTTTTACTATAAGATACTATAATATACTATAAGAAATAGTTACAACACACTTATCAGGAAACATATAGGCAAAGGCTCAATCGTGCTTATTTATTATTTAAATGAAGATCTATTAATGTATTACTATCATAATATATAGTGTATTGCATTTAAAATATATGCAAAAGTATCATTCATTGACCACATGGCACCAAGAAACAGATCTCCTTGTAAACAAATTAAAATAAATAGCAAAACAACATTTCTGGCAACAGCTGAGTTTCATAAAAATTTTTGTTTCCCATGTTAATCTTATGAAGAAATACGAAACTTTAAAGGGCCCCAGGGCCTCACTCTCTAAGGCCACATACAGATTGGCCAATGGTTTAAGGGTCTTTTCTAACATACAGATTGACCAAAGGTCCTAATGAGCAGGGGCAAAAAATGGGGGAGGAGCTTACAGCAGCGATGTCCCGTGGGGGAGGAGCTTGTCTATTCAATCAAGTGTTTGTTAACTTTTTCTAATCTTACCAGTCACAGAGGTGGCCAAACTCAAGAGACGAATTTTACTTTTTAAAACACTAAGTTTTATGTAAACTGTTAATCAGAATTCATTGTCCTACTTCTGGATATTGCTTTATATTAATTAAATTGTTTTTTTGCCTTACAATATCCTTTTTAGTGTTGGTATCCTTTTTTATGTTGGTTGCCGCCGGCCCGACCAAACGCGTGCACGCACCGTGACGGTACCAAAATAAATGTAATGAGTTTTTTTACGTGTGTTCTGTGTTTTATGTTTTAAATTGATGACGAATCTGAGAAGAGGATGGACCGGAGGACGTGGCAATCGCCACGAAACATGTAGTTATGTACCAACACTAAAACGGATATTGTAAAAGTAACAAAACAATTTAATTAAACTGTTAAGTAAACAAATAAGGTTTTTACATTCAACTGTAGCTTAAAAAACAAAACAGTGCGGTTTTCTAATACAAATAATCTAAAATCCAATCGTATGTTCGTTTGTCCTTTATGGACTCCGAAACCGCTCAACAGATTGCAATGAAACTTTCAGGTATTATTAAGCATTATTCAAGGATGGTTTGTGTGAAGTTTGGTGCAGATCCGTCAAAAGGGCTCCGCCCCAGTGGCTCTGGAGTTTCCCAATGTTAACCTTATGAGTACTCATATTTAAATGGAATTAAATAATCTCAACAGCTGGTTCAACTAAACAATTTGATTCTGTGATGTTCAATAGCATTAAAAAGTAAATAGGTTAACCAACAGGGTGCAGCACTATTTTTTTTTTTTAATTTATGACAACAGCTAATTTGCAACCATAAGGTGAATGAGCGTAGCGAACGAACTTCAATCTGGAGGCGAGTTAGCGTAGCGAACGAGCTAACCTGAAGGCCAGTGAGCGCAGCGAACGAGCTCCAACCTAAAGGTGAGTGAGCGTAGCGAACGAATTTCAACCAGGACGTGATTGAGCCATGCGAACGAGCTCATCTTGAAAATGAACGAGCATTTGACACAAAACCACATTAGGACAGGACGACGTCTGTCGGGCCAGCTAGTAGGCTATAAAATCTAACTAATTGCTAATAAACTCACTATTAATTTTCTTTTTAAGTACACAAAGTATATTTTTTGGGAGGTCGAGTTGGCTACGAAATTGTTAGTTTGTTTGACCTAGTTATAGCAATAAGGATAATGTTACCATTTAAAAGTCCTGAAGTGTTCTTTCAAGATCCAAAGTATAAGCATTCTCGTTTTTATGTGTATACACATTGTTTGAAAATTACCTTGAATATCCACCCGTCTTAGTATTTCGCACACGATGTTCATTTTTAAGTTCACAAAACCAATCTAGCAATATTCATTATAGGAGTAGTATTTTAACAAAAGTTAAAAAAAGGAAAAATATATTCCATTGGAAGTGAAATAACCCGAATATAATGTTCTACCACAGAATATAAAAATCTACTCACTTATTCAACATTTACGAAAACCAAAAATTAAAATTCTAAACTTCAAATAATTCCTAACATTTTGCCATAAAATCCTGAAATAAATAATAATTTGTTATTAATATTCAGTCAGCTACATTTTCAGTTGCCGCTAAAAGAAAATTATTCCGTTTGTATGATATCCCGTGAAAGCATATAACCTCGTCATATTAGCTTTTAAAATTGCATAGTTTGTGCTGAATTCTGTTGTCAATAATCTGAACTTTTTCAAGTTTACAATGAATTTTTGATTACATCAAAACATATGTCCATGGTACAATTTTGTTTACATCCATACGAAAATTGGGTTATCTGTAAGTCGGTGATGTTTAAGTTAAATAAAGAAAATGTTGTATTTTTTGTATAAAATGTAAAGAAGAAAATGGTTTACGTTAGATTTTGTGTTTTCATAGTATGTGTCATTAGTATTATTAATCTTTCTAAGTTGCCTTGAAGAGATCGCGCACGCAATGAAAATAATAGAGATATGATGAGACATCATGTTATCACCCTTAAAAACTACAATATATCGTAGTACTAATATTGTGAAATTTTGTGAATTTGTTCATTTGTTTGATATCCAATCACGCATTAACTACTGGTCGGATCGGGTTGAAATTTGGTATGAAGATAGCTCACATTCCCGATTAACATATCTAGACATATTCTTATCCCAAAAATCATTTCGGGCTCTGCCCCAATGGCTCCATAGTTTCCCATGTTAACCTTATGAGTATTCATATTTAAAATTAATTAAAAAATGTTGTCAGCTTTTTCAACTACACAAGTTGGTTCTACGATATTCAATAGCATTAAAAGAGACCACCTCTGTATCTGGTAAGATTAGAAAACGTCAACAAACAGTTTACTTGAATAGACTAGCTCCTCCCCCACACACATCGCTGCTGTAAGCTCCTCCCCCATTTTTTGCCCCTGCTCATTAGGACCTTTGGTCAATCTGTATGTTAGAAAAGACCCTCGAACCGTTGGCCAATCTGTACGCGCGCCTCTCTAATTATTTCCTTAAAAAGAAAGTTTCCTGCAAAACTTCACATTACGCTCTTTCCAATGACACCAAAAACATGTCAATCGGTTCAGTGGTTTCGGAGGAGTAATTGTCACAAAAAACTTGCTTGCGTATTAAATAAGTATAGATTTTGATGTTTGAAGTATTGAGAAATGTACGAAGGTTTCCTTTAGAATATTTTATTTTATTTTTATGTTTTAAAAATCAAACAAAAACAAACATAGGTTTACTTTAAGAAGATTTTATTTTATTTTTATGTTTGAACAAATTGTTTGATAGATAATTATTGTAATATATCTGAGGTCTGCTATTCTGTGTTTGTGTATTATTGCGTCGTGATGAAAAGTATCTTTCATAACTCGTACCGAAAGTTATTAATATTATCCGGTACTTGCTCCATTATTCCCGTCCTCGGCTTCGCCTCGTACGTGAAAATAGCTCTCACGTACTCGGCTTCGCCTCGCACGTGAAATTGGGATTCCCTGTGTTCGGCTTCGCCTCACACAAAAACTTGAGCGCGCGCCGGAAAATGCCACTTTCGGTCCTAGTAATGAAATATACTATTTCTCCAACTGCAATGTTTTGACAATGGCGGATACAAGCCGAAACATGTAAACAGCCTACTTTTTAACCTGTTTGTCGGATTATAAGGTATGTAAACCTATTTATCACAAATAATCACATTGAATATAACAGCTCAGGAGCTAGAATGGAAATGAATTATAACCAAATTACTTAAATTACCAATTCCATATATTTTTACGAATGGTGCTTTTGCTCTCTCAGGGCATCAAAACGAAAAATGAAGTAGGTCCCGGGTCTGGGTCTTTCAATTAGACCTAGAGCAATAGCTTATTCCCTATATGGAAAAGAGTATTTTAGCACAACTAAATAAAGAAAGTTTTGAGGTTTCTAGTCATAGTACGGCAGCTTACAACCCCTGATGTTGTTGACCTGCTATCACGAAAAATGACGAAGACGTCTATACTAACTCAAAAATATTAATATAAGGCAAGAAAAGGGTAGGAATTTATTGTATATACTGTATATATTTATAACTAGCTGTTGTACCCGTGCTTCGCAACGGAGAGGACACTGAAGCAAAAAAAAAAAATCTTGAATTCCATTCTTAAAAAAATGTTACACGTTTTCCTTTGGTTTCAGGAACATAACTCAACTAAAACTCTTAGTTTGAAAAATATCTTTGTTTTAAGGCTAGGCTAACTTATAATGCTAGTACGAATTATATAAGGCGCTGATGCATTTATGGAAATAATGTACCCATACGATTCAATTTTGAAATAATAAGCTTATATATTAGTATAGATATAGATGACTAAGCTATCTATACAGATGATGATTTAGATAAAAAATCCCCCAAAAAATCAAACAAACAAAATATGTTAACAATTGTTAACACGTCAACTTCATTAAATTCTAAGAAGCCACTATCTCCAAACAGGCTAGTAGCAAAAATCCAAAGATTGACGATTCGAATGGATTTGGTGTTTGGAATAATATATTGAAAAATAAAGAAAAGATAAGTTAATTGATTAATTGATTATATTGGCTCTTATAAAATGATAAAAATTCAAGAAAAATTTTTTGATTAAGTTACCACACATAACTTGAGTCTATGCTAGCAGCTGGGAACTAGAGATGCTAAAACAGCTCTTTATGCGAATATTGGGCTCTTCCAGGTGGTACATATTACTATAACAAGAATAGGATTTGTTTATAAGCCATTAAAACACCGATTTGAACAAAACATTGTAAAATCCTTTATCAAACAATGGGTCGCTAGTGGCACTCACACTATTACCAGGGTCGCTTCTGGCACGATTTTTGCTGGGTCGCTTCTGGCACGGTCGCTTCCGGCACGTAATCCTGTGGTTTGTTTCAAGTGTATTGTTTACGCCAAGATGTTCAAATTACACTTTAGGTAGGTTACACATCACACGAAAATGAAAGAAATGATGACCAATTAAAAGAAAATGAGAAAAATACTTAATAGTGCATGAGGAAAACACTTAAGAGAAGTTCAGTTTTTAGTTCTTAACAGGCTGGCTTGTTGGATGGGATCTAGACCTTAGTACAATAGTACAAGACCTTATAAATGCCGCTAACATATAATACACAAAATTGACCTCTGACCAAAATAAAGATGCACAAGATAATTAAGGTTTTCATTAAACCTATTAAAACTTCCTGTAGAAAAACTGAAAATTTGGTATCCCTTATCATATCACCTCACCTTGAGAATGTTCTAACACAAGCTAATTCTTCAACATCCCACAATGAGACCAAAGCATCAGCTGATCCAGTTGCAAAATATTTTCCAGTTGGGTCAAACTCTATACAAATGCATGTTCCTGGATGTGCCTTTAAAACATGTTGTAACTGCAACTCTGGATAGCTGAAATATTTTAAAACTATCATCAGTGTGAGAAAGCATTGGACACTAATTTAGAAAATATTGAGTTTGACAGGAAGATTCGTAGCCATAATAATAACTACAGCTGTTGTGCGTAAAACCATAACATCTTTATGTTTTCCTTCAGGCGATTTAAAAAAAATATATGTATTTTCCCCAATTGTAAAGTCACAGAAACCCACATGCGTTTTATCTAGGAATTAACTTTAAATTTCAAAATCCTCCCTCACTATCTAGGTAAGTTCAGAGGCTCGTAACTCAAATAATTTCATTACCCGGGGAAAAGTCAGAGTTAACTGTCTTATGTTTTAAAATCAATTTCACTTGCGGAGGCTTAAGATATTCTTTCCCAAAGTATAATTTAGAGATGTATGCAGCTTCACATAACTACAGCTTTATAATAATAGATTTAAGATTTATAAGAAAATCTTAATAATGAAATCTTTACATGTATTATACTTTTAGCATATAATTGTTCTTGTTTACTTAGATTGAACCGAAACAAACTTTTTTATTATTTTACAACTGGAGCAAGAGCCCACTAGAAAAAAAGGCCACACTGCAGTGCAACACTACGTCACACAGTGGATAGTTGTACTTAAGTTGCCAGACGTAATACAATTAAAATCTGACAGCCAGCTCATTCACCTAAAACATATAGGATATGGCAGTGAATCTACATTCACAAGAAGTGACATATTCATTTATGGATCCTGCAGCATGGCCTTTTTTCTAGTCTGACCTTGTCTAGAGCTACACTAGTTGTCCAAACCTGAGATCCTACTTCAAGTAGAATTTACCTTAGAACAAACAACAGCATTAATACTGATAAGAATAAGAATAAGAATATGTTTATTGTCTTTCAGGCTACATAAGCATTAACAAAGTCAAGTTTACAGCAGAAATGCCAAGTCTCTATACTAATAATTAGGCCTAAGGGTAATATCACATATCATAGAAATATACAATTCATAGGAACTATACAAGAATAAAAAATTATACATAACAGATTTCAAACATTAAAATTCTATCTGTTTTAATAAGAAAAATTCACTAAGTGAATAGAAAGGATTTTTAGATAACCACTCATAAAATTTGTTCTTAAAAACTTTAACAGTATATTTCTTACTAAGATTAATTACTTTATTATATACCTTAAGGGATAGTACTACATGACTAGACAGTGATTTGCTGAGCCTATTGTACTCAATTACTGCTTTATCCCTATTACGAGTGTTGTAACTGTGCATATCCCCAGTGAGTGTAACAAGATCCTGATTTTTTAGTATATAAGATACAAGTTCAAAAATGTAAAGGTTGATAATGGTTTGTATTTCCAACTGAATAAATAAAGGCCTGCAATGAGCACTTTCATCTGACTTGGTCATAACTCTAATTGCCTTCTTCTGAAGGATAAGAATGTCATCAATTTTAGCACAGTTGCCAAACAAAATCAGACCATATCTAAGAATAGATTGAAAATAGGCAAAGTAAGCTGTTTTTAGATAATGACTTGGAACGCACATTGTCAATCGTTTTAAAAGATAGATAACTCGTGAAAGTCTACAAGATATGTGCTCTCAATATGTGGTTGCCAGTTTAACTTGTCATCAATATAAATTCCTAAAAACTTTGCATTTGAGACCAAATCATCAGTAATTACACCATCTACAGTTCTTAATGTAAATAACATTTTTTGAGTTTTTTGATTGTTAAGTAAAAATCCATTTGCTTTAAACCAAGTTGCAGCGTCTTTCAAAGTTGTCTGGGCAAGTAAATTGAGATGAACAAAGTCATCAGAAATGTCTACAAAAGTGGTATCATCAGCATATAACAGAGACTTTGTACGAACAGAGCTAGGAAGATCATTAATACTAATTAAGAACAGCAGGGGTCCTAAAACAGATCCCTGTGGGACTCCGTATTGAACCAAGATTTCCTTGGAATGTTCACCATTAACTGAGACAGTTTGAAGTCTGTTTTTAAGATAAGATTCAAAAAAAGTTAATGAATTACCAGAAAACCCGTAGTAGTTAAGTTTTAATAAAAGATCATCATGGTCAACACAATCAAAAGCCTTTCTCAGATCACACATAGTGACCTGAGCATAGGCTTTGTTCTCAAAAGTCATGAGCACTTCTCTTACGAGCCGATCCACAGCATCGATAGTAGATTTTCCTTTCCGAAAACCAAATTGAGAAAAATTGAGAAAGTTATTGTCTTCTAAAAAATAACTAACTTGATCATAAACCAACATTTCAAAGAGTTTACCAACAATTGGAATCAGCGACACAGGTCGATAGCTTTCAGGTTTGTCTTTTGCGCCTTTCTTATAAATTGGACATATTTTTGAGATTTTTAATTTACTAGGAAAAATACCTTCCTGCAGACATTGGTTAAAGCTAAAAGATAACGGTTGAGCAATACTGTGAATTATATTTTTAACCAGATCATTAGATAAATTATAAATATCTTTACTTTTTGTGTTTTTCATCCTCTTTGCAGCATTAATAACATCACTGGGTGAGATTAACTTCCATTCAAAAACCTTGTCAAATATATATACTGTTTTGTTCTAAGTATTCTTATATTAATTTTTAATTTTAATGCACTCTAATAATATGTAACTGATTTCACCACAATCTCCATTTAAATACCATTTCAAATAGTTAAATGTTTTCCTCATAGAGTGCATCAGTATCTTCAAACCCCAATGGTTTCAAGACTAGCTCTCTGATTGGTCACTGATATGTATCACATGACCAACTCCTTCCTTCAGTAGAGTAGTGGCACACTCTTGGGCAAGTCCTGTTGCTATGAGGACTTAACATGCCTTTTCTCCTACATTTTCAAATACCATAAACCTCTTTACCAACATAAATATTTACCGCTGGCTTATAACTTATTATAAAGACAATTGAAGTGTTTTTTAACATCATATAGTGTGAAAAAGTGAACTTATCAACATTATAGCATTTCAGGATTCATCAAAGGGGGCCCCCAGTCTACGCATCAGTTTAATAACAAAAGGTTAGTGTATCCAATTCAAAATTACTATAATACAGTCCACATTGCTTTCTAATTAACATAAATTCCCCACATTTTTGGTCCTTCGAGCCGGATGGATAAACTCAGTGCGTTGGAAATATTTAAAGAATTGTTAAGATTTAATTTCATTGTGAAATACATTTTTTATTTTATCACAAACACATTTTTATAATTTGTGAACATTTATTAAATAAGCCAGTGTTGTTTTATTGATTTTTTTAAATCATAGGACATTGTACTATATATTTTCAAAATCAAACATATTTAAGTTTGATGATTTTTCATATTTCATTTCCAAACATGCACAAAAGTGAAAGTCTAGTTTCATGTCCAATTTTAAATATTCATGATTATATCTCAGCCATTTCATGAGCCTTATCTCTAGCAGACATACCCCCCTTCCCCTCTCAGTATTCTGTTTGCATTCCAGGATATTCATTGTGTAGCCAGAAATAATTATCCTTCCTTTCCTTGTTCTGATTATCTACAAATGTTATTGATTCTCATCTATCACGAAAACAGCTGATTGCTTTGTACAGTAATATTGTCGATTGATCATTATTGTATTAAATGATACTTCTGGAACTTCTGGAAAGAAAATTAAAATGTAAATAATTTAGTGTGATTTTATATTGCAAATACTTTGCAAAATAAGTTATTGAAATTTCTAGTGAAGAAATAACTTTAATTTATAAATTCCAAGGTGGAGTTTATACAGACCTTTTGAGTTTTATTGTGTGTTTGACTATTCTATTCCAAAATGAGATTTTTATCTTTTGTCAAGCAAAGTCAACTTATTGAACAAAGACTTAGTAGTATTGACAAGCAAGTTACAACATTAAGTACTGTTCAAGCCCTTGAATCTTTAAATGATCAACAAATAAATAGAATAAAGTTACTTTCAACTGCAGCTTCTCAAAAACATGCAGAATTTGAAAAAATTGTTAATAAGTTGTTCTCTACAACTCCCCTACCTGAAGACATCGTAGATGAAAAGGTAACCGAACTTCAAGATAAAATATCTGACCTGTACATAAATATTAGTAGCTTATGTAGCACATTAATACCTACACCTGCAGTATCTGAGCAATTGAATCAGTCCACCGCTAGTTCAACAGCACAAGCTGTGGCTGTACCTCCGACAATAAAATTGCCTTCATTGGATTTAGGTAAATTCTCTGGTCAACCAGACCAGTGGATGTCGTTTCATAGCATATTTGAAAATGCAGTTCATACTAATGAGTCACTCAGTAACATAGAAAAATTTACATATTTGCTATTCTGTCTCTCAGATGAGCCATTGAGTTTGGTGAAATCTTTGCCTCTTAACGCTTCGAACTATGCTATAGCATGGCAATCTCTGATAGATAGATACCACAATACAAGGTTGCTAATCACTCTTCATACTAACAATATCTTAGATTTACCTCAACTTACTAGGCCTACTGTCAAACAATTGCGGAAATTTCTCTCAGTTTACAATGAAAACTACCAGGCCTTAAAAACTCTTGGTCATGATATTGCTAATGAAAGTTTGCTTTTGACAACGCATATTTTGCGTAAATTTGATTCTGCTCTCCGCACTAAGTTTGAGCACTCACGTAATGACTCAAAAAAGGTCCCTACTATCAATGAATTAATTCTTTTCTTGGAAAATAAATGTACACAAGAGGAGGCTGCGGAGTTAGCTTCTGTTTCGAACAAAACATTTTCACCAAATGAAAATAAGAGCAACCACCCAATCAAATCTAATTTTGCGAATAAGGCTAAAACTAATAGGGCTAATGTTGTATTGTTGTCGTCTAACGACAAAGATCGAATGCTTAAATGTATTTATTGCTCCGCTACTACTCACATAGTATTCAAATGTCCTAAATTTGGGGGCATTAATACTAAAGACAGGTTTGACTTCATTAAGAGTAAAGACTTATGTG